TAGGTAGTGGTAGCTTGGTATGAACATCATCATCATTATCAACATAGGACCAGGCATTACTGCGTAACGGTCCGAGTTGCCACACCTCATATCAGCACATCAAGTAAAAAGGTAGTGAGGTGAAGGATGAAGATAAGTGAATGCAGTCAAAAGAAATATAAAGTATGAGAAGAAAGGAAAGAGGAGTGACAAAATAGTGAGATTCGGTATAGCGTTGTTAAGATGAGGATAATGTGTGTATACATCTGCGCCACTGACTTCGGTTCTGAGCCATATCACCTAGGGTCTCCAACCACTGGTTCCTCTTGTCCCACCGACCCCAACCACCTAGTCTGCATCGTCCTACATGGCTTAAACCAACAGTCAGAGACTTCATACATTGGTGCCATGTTTTAGTCTGGCCACCTCGGGCCTTTTTCCAGCCTGAACCCACCTCAGCCAACATTGTGTGACGAGGCAATCGGTGACTAGGCATACGTAGTACGTGTCCCAACCATCTCAGTCGATGAAGGTTCACAACCTCGTCGACTGACTTACCTCTTCTCCCTAAAACTCTACACCTAACTTCTGCATTACTCACATGGTGACACCACGGAATACGTCCTATACTACGAAGGCAACGGTGGTCAAACACCTGAACCCTTTTTGTATCTTCCACTTTCAATGGCCATGTTTCACAGCCATACAGTAGAACAGAGCGGACTGCTGTGCAGTACACGCGACCCTTAATAGACAAACGAATATCACGGCGGCGCCATAGGTGGCGCAAATTGGCAAAAGCCAATCGAGCCTTTTGTATCCGTGCAGAAATCTCATCGGCAACTAACCCACCGGGTTGATCCTACTTCCCAGGTAAGTGAAGTGGTCAACACACTCAACCACTTCACTCTCTATTGTTAACCGCGGTACCGCTGAAGACCAGTCCTGGAGCAAAAATTTGCATTTGGGTGGTGAAAATCGCATCCCAAACATTCTCAAATTCCCACTCAAAGTGTTCAGAAGACTCTGCATCTTGTCAGCGTCTTCACCTAACAGGACTATGTCATCTGCATATTCTAGATCTAAGGAAAATTCACCTGTGATCGGGTCAACGTCTTTGTAATTAGGTGACGAGAGGGAAACCTCCATAAGAATATCTATGATAAAATTAAATAAGAATGGGGATAGTGGGCATCCTTGACGGACACCACTTGATGAGTATAGCTCCCTGGACAACTCACCATAGGCTCTAACATGCCCACAAGTGTTCGAGTAGAGAGCTTTCAATAAGGTGATGTACTTACTAGGCACGCCTTTCAGTGACAGACACTGCCATAAGACTTCTCGATCAACGGAGTCAAATGCCGCCTTCAGGTCGAGAAATACAGCTATTGTCGGGCGTCTGTAAGCATGCCTATGTTCCAGGACCTGGCGCAGTGTGAATATTTGGTCGATACATCCACGGCCAGGTCTAAAGCCTGCCTGGTTTTCTCGGGCTTGCTGTTCCCGAGCTCCACTCAGGCGTCGGAGAATTATAGAACTTAGGATCTTAGACACTATGTTTGTCAGGCTGATTCCTCTGTGGTTATCACAAGAGGACTTCTCGCCTTTCTTGAAGACTGGGATGATCAGTGACTTAGACCAGTCGGAGGGGATCGTATTTGATTCCCATATACTGGCTAACACTTCCGTTAGCCTGACTAAGAGAACTCTACCACCATTCTTGTATACCTCAGCAGGTAGTCCGTCTGGTCCTGCTGCCCTTCCCCGTTTCAGGCTACCTACCGCTTTCTCAACTTCTTCTAGTGTTGGGGGACCTGTCTCTATGTCCCATTCAGGGTCCGACTGGATAGCGGGCAGCGCAATGGTGGCTGGAGGCCAGTTAAACTGTTCCTCAAAGTGTTCTGCCCATCGTCCCAGTCGCCTTCCCTGCGAGTGAATCGCGATCCGTCCTTCTCCGCTATAACCTCACTAACTGTTGTTGACCATTTCCCCCCAGTCTCCTTAATAAGTCTAAATAACTGTCTACTGTTACCGATCGCCGCTGCCTTTTCCATCTCTTTAGCCTTTGCTGCCCACCACTGTTCACGATCGTTGCGCAGACTTTTCGTCAGTTTATTTTTAAGTTGCGCTCGCTCTTCATTGTACTCAGAGCCTGCAGGGATGCATTCACGTGCATCCATTAGTTTGGAAGAAGCTGCTGATATCCACTGGCTCTTTTTAGCCATTATCTTGGAGTCGGCTACAGTCTCCAGTGCTGCTTTTACAGTAGACTGAAGATGGCACCAAGCTTCTTCTGGATGAGTGACAGTCTTTTGTTCCGATAACTGCCTAGCCAACTTCTCACTGAACACGGCTTTGGTGTTTTCGTTGTCCAGCAGAACTCGTAGTGGTTTTGTTGCCAAATTTTTTCTACGTCCATTGAGACGCAGGCATATACGTGCTCGGACCAACGCATGATCGCTGTCCAAACACGTACTCCAGAAGGAGCGGCAGTCTTCCACCGATCCTCTCCAGCGATGACTAATAGCAATGTGGTCTATCTGTGTCCATCGCTGAGTCGAGCTCGGTGGACGCCAGGTCAGACAGTGCCTTTCTTTATGTCTGAAATTTGTGCTGGCTAAAAATAGGCGGTTATCTGAGCATAGTTGTAATAGGCGATCACCGTTATCTGTACGTTCAGCTGGGATTCCGAAAGTGCCACCTAAGTGCCTTTCTGCCTCACTCAGTCTACCCACCTGTGCGTTGAGGTCACCTGCAACAACCACTACGTCCGAACGTTTGGCTTTCGAGAGGAGGTTAGACAGTTTATGGTAGAACTCGTCCTTCACTTCATCCGAACTACAGTCAGTGGGTGCGTAAGCAGAGATTACAAAGAGACAACGGCGAGTCTCACTATTCCTTTTAGTTCTCACTGTGCCGTTCAGCCTCATAGCGCAGAGGCGACTATCAACTGGGATCCAGTCTAGTAGTGAGTTTTCTGCCCTGGTGCTTAATGCTATACCTACACCTGCAAGACCACGAGAGCTAGCTATCGAATCTCCAGAAACTCGAAGGGTGAATTTTGCAGATTCACCAGATTGGTCAGGAGAGGTCAGGTGAATAACCACACTTGGGTCCTGTATGCGTGTCTCACAAACACAGCACACATCCATGCCCGAGTTGCTAGAGTCTTTGCCAACGAAGCCTGTTGGCCAATTTGACGGAGGGTGCGGACATTGAAGGCTCCAATATGTAATTTGGAGCGTGGTTTAAGGAGACCAGGGATGCTGTTCTGTGGACTCAGATCGTTGTCGAAGGCTGCAGAGGTAGGAGAAATTGAAGATGATGCAGCATCATTAATTAAGAGACGTGAAGGAAGATTAGAAGGTAATGATGGAGGAGGAGGATAGCAGTCAGAAGAAACTTGGGTGCTGACAGAGTTGTGAGGGCGGTTGACACTTCCCGGCTGCCCACACCGTGGAAGGCTATTTCTTCTTAAGGTACCTGAAAGAGATTTGTGTGACCGCAGAGCCCATCGGACATCTGCTTGAGGCCTGTCACACCCAGCCTTTTGAGTATGATTATTTTGAATTTTTGTATTTTTGGGGCCGGATGAGCGAAAGGAAACGACAAGTGAACCAACACCGCCCGGCAGACCGTGGGGTTGGTGGAGTGTGTTATTTTTGGGGCCGACCTTTTCTAACCCCCCCTTCCACTGAGAAGGCAGCATCAGCATGGCACTGCTGGTCATCCAAGGGAAACACCTTACTGCTGTCACATCCCATCCAGCTAACAGCAGTACGACTTCGCCCCCAGACTCTCATCATAGTGTAGCAATTTACACTATAACGGTAACCAGCATAGCTCATTGGGTCATTGTGATATGCAAGCCTGAGCACCACGTCAAGGTAGCAGCTATCGGTCGGGCATGAACAACACATGTCCAAGCCACTTCAGTCAATGAAGTTTCTACAGACTCTTTGAACGACTTTCTTTCCTTACCTAATACTCTTCGTCTATGATATCACAGGAATCATTTCAAAAAGAAGTGTATAGATAATAACTCTATATTGGTATAATCAAATACTTTGTGGGAACTTGGTCAAATATTATTTAAAACAGTAAGTAAATATGATTATGAATATACTTAGAGATGAATTATATCCAGTTTTATTATGAAACTGATATAAATAAACACTGAAACTAAGAAAATAGGCATATTATGACATGGATGAAGAGATGAGGCCAAGGGTTTTGTGCATAACTATTGAATAAGAGTATATGAATTATGAGAATTAGGGAAAAAAAAACTAAGATAATCTGTAATAAAGAAAATCTGAAAAATAGTTGGTTAAATATATTGAAATATGTATGCAAACAACATGAAGAAATCTGATAGACGGTAAGGAGGATATGTAGAAAAACAGTTTGAAAAATTTATGCAAAAAGAATTTCTTAATTTTAAACTAGGTCAAAGTATTTATGGTAATAGTTATGATTTGACCTATTTCACTTGAATACATAATTTAGTCTGTTGAATTCAGATAGATGATATAACCCACTTATAATCTGTGACGTATAACTACACTTTAACTATAGATATGGTAATAAACTATGCAGTAATAGATGTTAACAATGTGGTATACAATTTCAAAATTCCTATTTACTAAAGTTGTATACTGCAGATGGAAATATTTTGATATATTGTGAAATATATTCACAGAGGATACTCTCATTAGAAATGAAGAGAAAAAAAAATAATAATTCAGTACAGTTAAAAGAAAGGCGTTCAACAGTAAGAGAAAAAAAGTTTCTAGTATTGAAAATGGATTTCATATATATTATGATCATCAAAAATCTCTAGTTGCTTTTATTATCAATCAAAGAAGGATATCATTTTAAGATTGAAAGGTTGTTACAATTATCAAGATTGATCCATAAATACGATTTACACTCTTCACTATAGTTATGAACACTGGAAAAACATTTCACTTATATATATATATATATATATATATATATATATATATATATATATAATTTCATCCAATTAGGTACCGAAAAGAGAGAATTAGTATTCGTAAAAATGATAATAAAAACGAAATATTATGGCTGAGATCAACATTAGTAAAATACAAGAATCCAATTGTAATGAGTTACTAATGTATTTCGGAATGTGAATTTCTATTCTACAAAAACCAATATTTTAATAACAGTGTGAAGGTAGTTTTTTTTTTTTCAAATCAAAAAGTATATCTGAAGTAGTAAGAGGTAAAGTCTATGATGCTAGGAAGAACGGGTAAAATTCAGTAGACTAAAGAATACTTATAAAGGCTGTAGATAATATCCTTCAGGATTATTTATATATATATATATATATCAGAAAATCAATCAGATAAGTTATTCTGACGACGAAGTATCTCAATAAATGATTTTCGTGCCATTTGTGCAAGATTCTGTGATTCCAAATTCCCGCATTGTCTTACTAAATTTGCCAAATGACCATTGGAATTTATTTCAATATCCATTTTGGTTAAAAAACTATTTACACCCAATATATAGTCTTTTTCATCAGCTTTAGCAAGATCAGGATTCAAAAGAATGTGTGGATGACCAGATTCCACTACTTCACCACCTTCCATAACGATTAACAATTCACTATCTATAACAGTATGCAGTCTATGTGCAACAGTTAGTACAGTACATTCTTTGAATATGCTTCTAAGAGTTTTTTGAATGATAGCATCAGTTCTAATATAAACAAAATGGAAACAGATAATGATATAACCAGTACACAATTTAATAGTTAGCCTAAACACATAACTTCAGTTTACTTATGAACTTACGCAGGATCAACATTTGATGTTGCTTCATCTATAACTAATACACGATTTCCGCTTAAAATTGCACGTGCTAGTGCTAACAATTGTCGTTGTCCTGTACTGAAATTGGAACCACCTTCACTTATGAATGCGTCTAAGCCACCATTAAGATTTTTGATTGTTTTGTCTAAGTTTACCTACAACATAAAAAATAGTCAGTGAATAATCATGAACATGGATAAAAATCTAAAACGGACTAATCCAAAGTATACTGATTGCTTTATAGCATATATTTTCATTAAACTTTAAAAAAATTTACTGAGATAAATTGATGTTTAAAAAGTCTAGAGCAATTATATGCATACTGGCAGTAATTTATTTTGATGAAAGATAAAATTTCAAATAACTTCGACAAGCTGCATGTGATAGTGTTTTCAGAACGTTGAGTGTCCCAGCAAAGGTTGTATTAACATTGTGTATTATGAACTGTGTCTACTAGATGTGCTAGGAGAGAACTTCTAACTAATCTGATTTGACCTTCATCAAAATAAGCAGGCGAATTTCCTTGTACTCAGAGGAATATATGTCTAGTCATACACTGCTTGAAACTTGTTTCATCAAAATAATCAGGCCTATATATCTAGAATAAGGAGCTTAAATTAGGTAATACAGTTTCCAGTTTGAAACTGGACACTGAACCACTTCTAAGTAACAAGGACATTCCAAGTTGAACGTCCTGCTTTCGTCTACGGTTAGGTGCTTTGATACGATTTTACTTGGAGAGTTTTTCTATACATTGGATAACAGAGAAACAACAGTTTCTTCTCCAATATAATCAGTCCATGTATAGGATTTATATAAAAGAAATTTTTGGGATATCCATCTTCACTTAGAATATTACAAGTGTACCTAGTAGCTTTCATAGTTAATCCGTTTAAAATCCAAATTTCATACTCTATTTTGAAAATGTTGTGCTTGTTTTAAACAACATGATTTTGTAACTGTAAAACCTAAAGAAAATATATTGGAAAGAAATATTGTCCAATCATATTGCTTTTTAAATTTATAATATGAGAGCATTTATTCTATGGATCCTGTGAATGCTTCATCAATAAACGTAAGAAGTGTGAACAAAAAATAGTTATAATAGGTTTTGAACATGAAATGGTTAGGTATATATCTTGTTTACACTATCGGTCTTCTTGGAAATGGTCTTCACAGTTTAAATTTATATTCCAAAATGTAACGGAGTTTTTTTGAAAAGTAGTTTATAGGTAGAATTATTTATGGATATGCTTGTAATTCTCCATTGTTATACTGGATCGAATTGTTCGACCTCTGTTGGTATATGGGCCCCCTATGTGAATGTTTCGATATCACCTGAATGTTTATTATCATAATTTACTTGGTGGCCTAGTGGATAACACGTTGGCGTTTGAAGCTATGGGCACGAGGTTCGAGTATCAGTAGGAATAATATCACTCCGCAATGGGATGCAGATACGTCCAGCTGACGAAACGCGCATCATGGATCCCTCTGATAGCCACAATCAAGTAAATTACCACATAGTTTATAGATCTGGAAAAATACAGTACACATGATTCACATTGTGTACATTAACCTTATCTGCAAACTGACCATTGATAAAGTGAGTGAAAATCGTCAACTTTTTTGTGGTTCAATGTTTACAATTTTCGTCGTAAGATTACGCTGTATTGGGTTCATTCTCTGATGAGGTTAGGGTGTGCACTACTGAGGACAAAAACAACTGTCCAATGTTCCCAGGTTTTTATGGTTCTCCAATTGATGTCAGTCCATGATGAATACTACCTTGAAATCAATCAGTCCTCAGGAACCCCTAAATTAAATTCCCATAAAATTGAATAGCTGACAACTGTTTCTCTTGATGGAGTGATCGGCACAAGCTTTAGTATAATATGATCACTTTGTGCTGCAGTATATGCAATAGTGATGCAGTTAGAAAATCTATTAGTTAAGTAATTTTGACTTTGTTTGACAAGCAGTAAGACCTAAAACATGTATGGTGAACTCTAAGAAATATTTTACGACAACTTTCATTCCATTTGTAGAAAAAGAAAAATCAAAGATCCTAACAAGAATAAATAACTGGTTCTAATTACACCCCTTTTTTTTAAATTATCAAACAATATTTCATATCAGAAAGATACAATGTAAAGTTCTTTATGCAAAGCAACTGTTGAACATCAGATGGATTTAGCTATACGATATTCTCTTTATCAAGTCTAAGGTTGTTTAGAATTCAGTCAACTGTGGATGCACACAGACAGCTAATAAAAGTGGATTTGTGTGTTATAATAAGAGTAAACCTTGGGCACTATCGTTGATTGTAATCCCATTTTGGTCTGTTTATTAGAAATATAACACAGTGAGGGAACAGTAGCATTTACTGAATAACAACGTTTCGGATATAATTTATTGTCCATATTCATATCAGGTAACAAAACTCCACAACTTCGAGACAGTCTTTATATATTCCTACTTCTCTCTCCTTCTCTGTGATGACAAGGGTAGTAGAATTTCCTACACATCTAGGATAGGTGTAGAATCATTTCGATTGCTGCGTGTATTTGGTATTGATTCGATAAACAAGGATTCGGTTATCAATCTCTCCCTCACTGCACCCAACTAAGTTAATTTTCAACACTGTCGCCCCATCCTACCATACTGTGTGATAGTGTGTCATCGCATGCAGAGCTATAGCCGAGTTTTTCTGTAGATTTCTTATCTTATTAGGATCTACTAATCTGGATTTAGCTAGGTTTTTGTGCTGTTATTCTAATCGACCCTGGTAGACTGCTTTCACCTATGTACTTGACCTCGGAATCATTGCAAGGGATCTGGTAAACCAGATTATTTTGCTTAATTGCATCGATAGGATCTTTTAGCCTATAAAGCTTGCTTGTAAGTGAGTTTGTTGGTTTGAATGCCAATTTAATCCCAGCCAGACTTATTGAGAATTCTTCGTAATGCTTCTGAGGTGCTTTGAATTCTCTCTCAACCTTGTTACATTATTACTCTTATTATTAGAATTATTATTCATAACACCTGTATTAGTACTACTACTACTACTACTACCACTGTTATTATTTTTCTTTCGATTTCTTATGAATTTATTTTCATGGGTAATTATTCAGACATAGAGTATTCATGATGTATCTAATTTCTTGTCGCAGATTTTCCAACCTACTAGTAAGCTTTTTCGCTCTATCCGGCTGCGGTTCAAATTTTATTTTACCTTCAACTACCACTCAGTATAAATATTAGTCTCCCAAACTACGGCTATCTCAAATAGTTAACTAATAATCTACATTATCATTGTTATTATCTTTATTACATCTTTGGGTATTATAACAAATATCGATTACATGAAAGTCTGTTTCATCTGTTATAATTCTATTGTGTTATGATAATATTCTCTCTCTACTTTCTAGATTAGTTTATTTGATGAAATTGAACTTTTTCCATAATATAAATGAATAATTCCTTATTTATTAAATCATTAGAAATGTTCAGATGAAGATATTTTTGGTAATACGATAAAATAAGCATTACCAAGGTAGGCTTAATGTAAGGACAAACTGTTTTTGCACACACAATGGGAGGTTAAATTTATTTATGGCTAGCGCCTCAACAAACTTAAGTATACGCCCCTGACAAGTTCTGTACAAAATTGTAAAGGCTGTCTTGATATCAATTCTGTGACTCTTATCAATGATATGTTTCGCAATGAATGATGATGGTTGTCTGCCATCTGCGCTTATCAATGATATCAAGACAGCCTTTACAATTTTGTACAGAAACTGTCAGGGGCGTATACTTAAGTTTGTTGAGGCGCTAGCCATAAATAAATTTAACCTCCCATTGTGTGTGCAAAAACAGTTTGTCCTTACATTAAGCCTACCTTGGTAATGCTTATTGTATCGTATTACCAAGATTGTCTTCAAGTCTTATCTGAAGATATTTTTATTTGAATTGTTTTACTAAAAATCACTCAATAGAACACCTTCGTACTGAAGTCATATGTATATATATATTCTTAAATTATAAAATAAGTTGAAAATCTTATGGTAACAAATCAAGCAATCAACAAGGTTTTATTTCAATGACACTTACTCTTTCTAGAGCTATCCAGATAGATTCATCTCTTTCTTCATTTAAAGGATCCATATTTGTTCTTATTGTTCCAGTAAACATTATTGGATCCTGATATTAGAAAATTAGTTAATTTTACAAGGCAGTTAAGTAAATAAATTGGGATGATTATGTAAATTGACTTGATAATGAGTATTTTCGAATTTATAAGACATTTGATATTATTAAACTTACAAACCTAACTACAAGATAGAACGAAGATTTCAATGAGGAAAATTCCTCCCTATGAATATTTCAATTTTAAAAGTTATACACTAGTATTTACATATAACAAAAGGAGACTGCTTGAACTTTGGATTATCAATAAAATTTTTCCATCAAACATGTTTTATCAAATTCCTCACTTTCAGTTTGTTTTAATCTTTCTAATATGTCCTTCCAAGGTATCACTTACTGTTGGGGATTTTTAAAATATTCTAAACTAGTTGTGCTTTCTTTTTGGAGGTAAACGAAACAAAAAAAAAGTCATATTAGAAAGAAATCAACCTTTGAATGGACAAAAGTAGGCCTTATTTCTATTCTTCAGATACCTATCTCGAATAATGCATTCTTTGATTGGTTGAGTGAACCACTACCCCCACTAAATATCGAACCCCAATCCAGCACTAACCAGCTGCATCACATTATTAACTTTGATGCTGTTATTATGAACATCATTCAGACGCAGTAATCATTTTCCTTGAAAATATTGTTTTGACAGTGAACTTGTTAATTTGTTATATGCTGGGAATTCCATACTATATCAAACATACTATTTAGAATAAAGTTATTATTACTATTATTATATTAGTTGAGGTAGACAATAACAACTTTATCTCCGTGTCTATATGTTTCAGCTTCACAATAAGTAGAATGACGAGGTACATTACCGTGAGCGATGATAGTATTTTATGAGTCACAGTCTATTTTGATGTTAATGGGTATTTTTATATATTTTTTATAAAGATATTATTCATCATAGACTGGCATCACCTGGAGGACCATTGAAAACCTGGGAACACTGGACTACAGTTTCATCCTAGTATGAGACTTCTCAAACGTACATGCCCATGACCTATCCGGGAATTCAAATCAGGACCTTCAGACTTCACGGTGAACGCTTCAGCCATTCAGAGACTAGGTAGAAGTTCAATGGTTCAAGGTTTCCTACCTACATAAATTATCATATCAATTAGAAAATCATAGGAGACTATAAGTCTATTTCACTACTCTGAAGCTAACTTACCATTTTGACCAGATATACAACTAGTTCTTCCTTATTTTTATTCTTATCACATTTCAATTCAATTTATTTTGTTACAATATATTTACCTCTCTTGATCTCTACCACATCATACCTGACTGATACTCACATTTGGTCCTTCACTCAATTACTTTTAAATGAGATCATGCCATATTTATTCACTTCCCAACTTGGGCCTAAGACTCTTAGTCCTCAACAGATTTGATGATTCATGAAATATTATCCTCATTCATATTAGTGGGGTCTATAAGTCGACTTATTGTAAAAATGAAACACACATACAAACAAGTTGGTTGTAATCTACTTCAACTTATCTTTACATATCGAATTCCAGAATACTGGAAAAAGAAGTGACTGTGAAAGTTAATATCCTATTACCAGTTGCAGCACAAGATTATTAAAGCTATTAAAGTAACAGTGCGTATGTTAGAAGGTTTCTAAGTAAAAAAATATACAAATGACTCAAAGTAATTAGGAAAGTGTCTGATTGAGGCTTTTTGTCATAGGCATTCACGATTAATGAGTTAACCAGCATAAAAACAGGTGTCATACTATTGACCAGTACGTCGTAAAATATTTGATAAGTTAAAAAGGCAAGATACCTTAGACAATGGACAGATTTATGAGCATTTTACTATCGGTCGAGGAACGATTCACATTTATCGTTAAAACGTTTATTCCTGTATGATTACGAAACGAGTGAATAGTCTAATAACACATAAGTCATCATATTGTTATATTTTTGCTAAAACCATAGTCACAGAAAATCAGAAATGATCAAAAAAGAATAAAATTGACACTTTTAGTCAAATAATAATTTTTCACTCGGTGTTTCAACAAATAGAAAGTTCAATTTAAGGTTTATGGGACTTCATTGACTTCAGGTTGGTATTCATCATCGATTGATATGAGTTAGAGAAACAATAAAAATTTGGGAGCACTGGACAACTGTTGCGTCATAATCATCATCATCATCCATCAACATGGGACCAGGCATTCCTGCGTAACGGTTCGACTTGCTCATATCAGTACACCAAGTAAAAAGGCAGTGAAGTGCAAGATGAAGAAAGGAAAATTCAGTCAACAGAAATATAAAGTACGAGAAGAAAGAAAAAAGAATGACAACGGGGTGAGAATCAGCATAATGTTAAGATGAGGATAATGTGTGTATACATCTGCCCCACTGACATCAGTTATGAGTCATATCACCTAGAGTCAGTCTCCAACCACTGTTGGTTTCTCTTGTCCCATACACCCCAACCGGCCAGTCTGCATCGCCCCACATACCTCAGACCAACAGTCAGAGACTGCATGCATTGGTGCCATGTTTTAGTCTGGCCACCTCGAACCTTTTTCCAGCCTGAACACACTTCGGCCAACATTGTGTGACGAGGCGACCGGTGACTAGGCATATGTAACACGTGTCCCAACCATGTCAGTCGATGAAGGTTCAACAACCATATCAACTGATTTACCTCTTCTCACTACAACTCTACACCTGAGCTTGACTTCTGGGTTGCTTACGTGATGACAGCTGGGAACACGGTCTATACTACGAAGGCAACTGTGGTAAAACACATGAGGAAGCCTTCTCACGTCTTCCACTTACAATTGCCATATTTCACAGCCATACAGTAGAACAGAGCGGACTGCTGTGCAGGTGTGGTACACGCGACCCTAATAAACAATCGGATATCGCACCGGCGCCATAGGTAGCATAATTTGGCAAAAGCTAGCGCCTCTGGTCACGACTTCTCGATGTAACTTCCGGAACTACTTTTTGAAGCTAGTCACTAATGAGTGCTAGGTTAATTCAGTCTGAAGGTTTGTGGGGATTGACTTCAGGTTGGTATTCATCACGGACTGATATCATTTGGAGGAACATTAGAAACCTGGTAGCAATAGACAGCTGTTTTGTCCTTCTAAAGGACTTCACAGAAGTGCACACCCATGACTCCGTCAGGGATAGAACTCTTGATCTTTAGGTTCTGCAACCTCCATCCAATGTTGCGTCTGAGTAACCTCCCTCAAGTTCCACTTGGTTGGTCACGAACTGTCGTCGCCCGCGAAGCCTGAAGATCCTGGGTTCTATCCCTTGCAAGGTTATCGGTGGACACTGCTGAGGAGTCCCATGCAAGGACGAAGCAGCTATCCATTGCAACCAGGTATCTAATGTTCCTCCTACTGATGTCAGTCCGTGATGAATACCAACCTGAAGTCAATAAATCTACACAAAAACCGTAGTTGTATTAATCTAGTGCTCATTGGTGATTAGCTTCAAAAGTTAATTCCCAAAGTCCCAACAAGAAGTCGTGACCAAAGGCGCTGACCAATCCGAACATGATAACAGTTTCTCAATTAAAGTGAAGATCCATGGCTTGATCCCTGACGGGATCATGGGCATGCACTACTGAGAGGTCTCATGGAGGGATGAAACAACTGTCTATTGCTACCAGGTTTCTAACGTTTCTACAACTGATATCATTCTATGGTGGATACCAACCTCAAATAGAAAGTTGTTCCAATTTCTTCAGTTAGATTTATTTCAAAATCCACCTTTAACGCTTGCTTCTAAATGGTCATTTTTAAAAACCTTTCAGAGAATACATCCATTTGATTGATATTTCGAAACTTCACAAGAGCCAAACCTTAGTCTGAATATAATCAACCTTGTCTGTTTTCATTCTTTTACCGACTAACAGAGTAGTTGATGTCGTAACCGAGTGGTGGTTGAGCGCGTGAGTATAATGATACTGAGACTTAATAAACATCTCCACCAAATACCTTTACGACTGACCTCCCTCAGTACCTTCTATTTCACTGAGACGCGAAAAATCAAAAGACAAAAACAACCTGTGACTAGGAACAGCGACGACTCTTACTAGGCAAATACATGACATATGTGTTTACAAAACTCTCAGAAAGTGGAGCTATAAATGAACCAAAACAATTTCTTGTATGAGGTCGAATTTCTCCAATCAGATTCTCAGGTCAGCGCATGCATAAATCATGACCAGAACATGGTCTGATCATGACTTGAAAACAACTCCCCTATTGGTTGCCTTTTGTTGATACGCCTCAGTTAACGATAGATTATTGTAAAATATCACTGATTTGTGTTGAAGGTGATACGGTCAAAACAAGTTTATAGGAAAAATAAACAAAAATTACATTAAGATTTTTTTTCCAGTATATATTGTTTAAAGTAAGATTTTTTGCGTCAACATTAACTGAATCTCATAACACTGAATGACTACTGATGTGATTTTCGTTTTTTTATTTGAAGAAGCACAATTTCAAAGTTTATTCAACTCACTTGTTTAACAAGGTCACCTTGATATGCATCAAACCAATTTCTATGAATAAACTTTAAAATCTAATTGGTGATATAATCGGAAGGTTCACTGTAGTTATTGTATTTCGCAAAATGTTGTCAAAAACTTAAAACTCATTACCTCAATATGATAAGATTACTTTCAGCTAAGTTATCTATGGATAACTGAATTCTTCCTAAACCTTAGAAAGGTTAAATTCAACTTCAAAAGGGGTTATGTATATTTCCTATCTTATAATGCTTCTGAAAAGATTACAAATAACTCAAAACTGAGATGATTTTGATTGATATTGAAGAAAGTGAAAGGACTTTGTTGTCATAGTGTTCCATTCATGAGTATCAAACTATATTCCTGTATACAGATCTGGAATAGCCAAGGTAAAATTCAAAAAAAGAGCGTTTTAATTTCAATCGGTCTACAGAAAATATTAATAGTGGGAATTGTTAAAGGAAACTTCATTTTTTAGGTGATATTTAACATCTTTGAATATAAGTCAGCACCATTACACTAATGAAAGTTTTTACTGAAGTTCCTATGAGAATTCGTGAACCTAGTAGTCGTGAGGACAAATACTCAACGATGATGGTCGCACCATATCATGAACTGACAGAAGTAGGAAATATGGACTATTAGATTCCGACCCAGTGGCTCAATGATAACCTGAAGGTCACAGGTGCGCACTGCTGAAGAGACGTATACCAGGACGAAATAGCTGTCCAGTGCTCTCAGGTTTCCAATGTTCCACCAACTGATGCAAGTCCATGATTAAAAAAAAACCAAGTTAAAAATTTCAAAATTATGTAAACTGCATTGAATTAACTTTAAAAGGTAAATATGAGATTAAAACTGTTAAGTGGTTAAAACCACGTGAAATAATGTAACATTACTTGAGGAATTATTGACAGTCTTTTTCGTAAACAGTCTAATTTCAAATGTTTAATATCTACACCATCTATTAGTATAGATCCTTTTTCACCTTCAACTAGTCGGAAAAGAGCTGAAATAAGAGAACTTTTACCAGCACCAGTTCGTCCAACAATACCAACCTAAAAGTAGATATTTTACAAAACTTCTAAAAAAGCATGTTCAAAATAAAATCAAAATATAAATATAAATGTAATGAAATATGAGAATTCTATTTTACTATGTTTATTAGTAATGTCACATAACGAAACAGTATCATTTACTGAATAATGATTCAGTCATACTTTATTATCTATGAACATATCAAGTAACTCTACAGCGTTGAGAATCGCTACTCAGGCTTCCAATCATAGCACTCCATCACATTTAAAGTAGGCTTAGTTGAATCCTTAAGTAATAGAGAAAAACATGCTTACTAGTACGACAAGAAATTAGACATATAAAGAACACCTTGCGTCTTAATAATTATTTACCTCAATTTATCAATAAATTCATACGAAGTCGTAGTAAAAGGTATGAGGAGTAGTAGAAATACAGGTGGTTTAAATAATAATGCTACTAATAATAGTAATAGTAACCTAGCCTGGTTAACTAGTTCATTAGTTATTAGCCGGTCCTAATCCAAGGTAAAGAGGGAAGGTTGGGCATATGGCTAGCAACCCTACCCCGGAAAACAAATCTAACCGCTAAAGAAACTTTCAAAGCACAAACAAAATAAAGAAAATAAAAACAATATTATTCTTCTCTGGAATCGGAGAGACGAAATGACGCCGGTTGGTGAAAGCTTTCGGGAAGCCAATTAGCCGATGTGTCTTCTCTCCCTCGATGAAAGCAAAAGAAAACGTGGAGACATGGAATGTCCGCACCATGTATGAACCTAGCGAATTTCCACAGATTGCAAAAGAGATAAGAAGGTATAGCATAGAGGTGCTAGGCTGGGAATCTGCGAAAGCAGATGGAATGTGAGTGGACTCTCCAAACTATCAACTGAAGAGTCAATAATCTACTCCGACATTGTCACCTAGACGACAATCATGAGCACACTAAGTTATGGAGTGGCTATCATGATGTCCCCGAGAGCATCAAAGGCTGTCATACAGTGAGAATCAATCTTCTCCAGCATCATGGCAGTAAGATGGATTCAACTCAAAAGGAAGGGAAGTCACAATCGTACAGTGCTACGCTATGCACCTACAAATAATGCAGAGCAAGAGAAGGAGGAGGAATTCTACAGAAAACTGCAATCAGCATTGGACAAGACCAGTTGGTGACATCAAAATTCTAATAGACGTAGTGACATAAATGCCAAACTGGGAGCAGACAACACAAGAAGAGAGTTAACCATGGGTCGAGAAGCGCTCGGTGAAATGAACGAGAATGGAGAATTGGTTGCAGAATTCTGTGCATTCAACGATTTGGTGATTGGAGTCAGGCAGTGTGTACAAACACAAGGATCTCCACAAAGTGAGCGACATGCATTTGATTTCACTTGATGGACACACTACACTAAAAATCAGATCAACTTTTTGCCCAATGTGAGGAAAGTGGAGACGCAGCCAGCCTACTTGACACAAGATCAACAAGAGTAGCAGATGTAGGCTCAGACCACTATCTAGTGCAAAGAACATGCCTTCCAAATCAAGTTGAAAGACTTCAAGGAAGCTGGTGATAGACCACAGTTCAAGTACAACACTCGAAAACTGAAGAACGAAACCACAAAGGAAATCTTCACGTCAGCCATCGAGACAAAATGGGAGATATCGAGCAGCATCCCTGTACAAACCTATGTGGATGAGCACTGGAACTCTTGGAAAGAGATGTGGAAAGAAACCTGCACAACCGTATTAGGAAGGAAGAAGAAAGAAGAAAAGGAATGGATCTCAATGGATACATAGAAGCTGATAGAGCAAGGAGAGGAGGATAGTGAAGCAGAAGATAAACCAGTGCAAGGATGCTCAACAACGAGAAGGGGAACTGAGTACAATGTATAAAACACTACGCTGGACAGAGAAGTGAAGAAGAGTGCACGGAAAGACAAAAGACACTTCCACGACATACTGGCAAGTGAAGCAGAACAGGCTGCTGGTAGCAGAGACCTGACAACATTGTATCAAATAACCAGGTTACTATATGGCAGGAAGAGATCAACACAGATGAAACCAATAAAGGATGATGACGGAAATTTAACTACCAAAGAAGAGAAACAAAGGAAACAATGGGCCGACCATTTCAAGAAGCTCTTCAATCGACCACCACCTGCACCCCAGCCACAGAACTACAAGTGAACATAAGTCCTCCAAGAAAAGTCGAAGTCCTCAAAGCCATAAAGCTACTGAAATGTGGAAAAGCAGCAGGACCAGATGGAATCCCACCAGAAGCACTGAAAACAGAAACAGAGACAACAGCGGACTTGCTCACACAACAACACTATTGCAGAAGGTGTGGAAGGAAGAGAATGTACCTTGCAATTGGAAGAAGGGTTACCTTGTCAAACTGCTGAAGAGGTGAGACCTCAGTGTTTGCGAGGAATCACTCTTCTGTCCACCCCAAGCAAAATATTAGGCCGCATCATCCTGGAGAGGCTTAAGGATGCACTGGATCCAAAACTACGACCGGAACAGGCAGGCTTCAGGAAGTACAAATCATGTGCTGACCAAATTGCAACGCTACACTACGCATCATCATAGAACAGAGCACAGAATGGCAATCAGCTCTCTACCTCAACTTCATCGACTTTGAGAAGGCCTTTGACAGCGTCGACCGAGAGGTAATTTGGAAACTGCTCGAATACTACGGAATACCGCAAACCGTTATCCGCCTCATTCAACAACTATATGAAGATGCCACATGCCAAGTAATTCACAATGGGAAGCTGAGTGATGCTTTTGAAGTGAAGACAGGAGTGAAACAAGGTTGCCTACTATCCCCCATGATATTCCTTATTGTGGTGGACTGGATCATGCAGCAAACAGTGGGGAGCTGTGAGAAGAGGGGGATACACTGGACTGCGGAAAAGAACCTAGAAGACTTGGATTTCGCCACTGATGACTTGTGCCTGATGTCACACAAACTTGAAGATCTACAGGCGAAAACTAACAAGTTGACAGAAGAGGCGAGGCAGTGAAGATGGGACTTCAAGTGAAAGTAGAGGAGGTAGAGGTGATGATGATACCCAACCAACAACAACAGCAACGACAAGCTCCAATCACTATCACCGGGAGAAACTTAAGGGAAGTTGTCTTTTTCACCTATCTAGGAAGCACTTTTTCAACTACAGGCGGGACAGACGAGGATGTCAAAGTCAGAATCGGAAAAGTTGGATTGGGAAACTTGTGGTACCTAATCCTGTACAATGATTGAGGGGTTAAATATACAGGTGAAAGTAGTCGACCAGGTTTGCTTAGAATAACAGAGCATAAAAACCTAGCTAAATCAAGATTAGTAGATCCTAATAAGATAAGAAATCTAGAGAAAAGCTTGGCTAAAGCTATGCATCCAACTGCACACATTCATACAATAGAATGTGACAGTATTAGACACTAACTTAGTTGAGTAGAGGGAGAGATTGATAACCGAATCCTTGTTTATCGAATCAACACCAAATACATGCAATCGAAATGATTCTACACCTGTCCCAGATGTGTGGGAAATTCTACTACCCTTGTCATCACAGAGAAGGAGAGAGAAGTAGGAATATATAAAGACTGTCTCGAAGTTGTGGAGTTTTGTTACCTGATATCAATATGGACAATAAATTATGTCCGAAACGTTGTTATTCAGTAAATGCTACTGTTCCCTCACTGTGTTATATTTCTAATAAACAGACTTAAATAGAATTATAATCCACCACATTGCTAAAGTTTTATTCCTTTAGAAATGTGAAAATATTCTTCTAGTTCTAGAGTTCGACCTCACTTGTATGAATTATAACAAATCTCCACTTGTGTATATCTGTATATCTGACCACCCCTACTGATATTCATTTCAATTTTAAGTTGTTGTTTTTTTCACTGATAAAAATATTTTGTATAATTTATGCAATAATAAATTCTGAAGAATGGATTCAATTAACCAGGCAATATACGAAATAGCTATTGTGAGGTGAAATTATCTTGATTTCTTTTCGATGTTGGTTTTACTCAAAACTATATAGTATACTAGAATGACTGCTATGGTAGGTTATTTGAAGTACATTCTTTAGAATTTACGTTTCTCGATGAAATCCTGTTTTCTTTCTTACACTGTAAGTTATATATATATATATATATATATATATATATATATATATATATATATATATATATATATATATATATATATACTGCGTAGAAAACTATTTTACACAACAAGAAAGTGTGGTTTTTTTGATAGAAATATTTCAGCAGTTAGTCAAGTTCTCTATCCACCAGAAATGAATACCTACATTACGCGGAGGTGATATCCTCCTACCAGGAATTTGTAACTGAAGATAAATCTGACAAAAATTTGATATTTTGCAAACGTTTTCATCAAACTCAATAACTTCATGATAGCCTAATTTAAATATTCAGATCACTATTTATGAAGTATAGGGAAAACTGAACATTTAGATGAAATGAAAAGTAGTGAAAAAAGAGGTGAAGCAAAGTGATTTTCAAATTAAAAACTTCTAAAATCAAATGTATATTCCTAAGTATGTTATTCTTTGTCCATTATCATTCTCAACATTATGAAGAGGTGCCTTATGTAAAGTTTTGTTTAGCAAATCAGTAAGCATTGGACACGCTGGTAGAAAGATAATACATATAACACCTATCATAATCTAATAAAGTATGCTTAATACTGTCACGATGTATCGGCAAAGATTGTGAACCACAGGAAACAGGCTCACATATTAACTCATACTGTAAACATAATAATTATCATCTTTGAAAATATAACCTAGAGGGTCATTAGGTTTTATTGAACTTATCTTAGTTTCATTCACACAGATATTAATTAGATACTGTAATAATAAAATGTAAAGATTACCTTGCATCCAGGTTTAATATCTAAGTTTATGTTTTTCAGTGCCCATGTATCAGAAGATCCATAACGCATTCCAAAATTTTCAAACTTTATATGCCCATATGTAGGCCAATCAGAAACAGGTGGAAGTAATTCAGGAGGTTCAGTTATCTCCGGTTCTAGATCTACATACTCAATGGCCCGCTCTACGGATACCATCTAGAAAAACACATTCAAAATAAAGGGGAATTAAGATTGGTAACTTAGAAGATTGAAAAGTAAATGAAATATCAAACAGGGGTAAATAGTATATCTTTCAATCTTTTGAGTATGATCCGGTATTCTTCTTTCTTTTGCTGATAAATATCGTGTGGTAAGAAAAAGTTTTAATTTTTCTTCAAGTTTTTATTAATTTACTGAACACTGACTTGATGTGTGGCAAAATAGGTAAACATCTAAAATCAATTAGAAACTTTTCAATGTCTATTAGAATTACTATATACATGGTATATTCTATCGCATTTCGATTTCATTTTAGAAATCATTAAAAATCAAGAAGTATAATGTTGTATCGTAAATTTTCTCATGGAAATAATTAAAATTAATTACTTATAGCCGACCTTATTTCGGAATAAAATTTCTGGTAAAAGTTATCTACAAATTTAAGGGAACATGGAGTGATAATTTCTGTTCGAAGGGTAAATATAAGATGGAACACTTTATAATAGTACTTCGATGCTAGAATATACTTCCAGATACAGTCAAATACCGCTTATAATTTGACGACTCATGAGTTTATATAGTTTTCTATTTATTCTCTATACAAATGCCTACCGATAGCTACTACCTTAACGTGGTGCTCAGGCTTGCATATCACAACGACCCAATGAGCTATGCTGGTGGAACACCTGTTCTCTAGAGGTCCTACCATACCAGAAAGGTCTGTTGGATAGTGGTTAGACAAAAAGCAGTTACCGTTGTAGCGTAAATTGCTACACTATGATGGGAGTCTGAGGGCGAAGTCGTACTGCTGCTGTTAGCTGGATGGGATGTGACAGCAGTAAGGTGTTTCCCTTGGATGACCAGCAGTGCCATGCTGATGGTGTCTTCTCAGTGGAATGGTGGGGGTTAGAAAAGGTCAGCCTCAAAACTAACACACTCCACCATACCCGACAATCTGCCGGGTCGGTGGTGTTGGTTCATTTGTCGTTTCTTTCCTCTATCCGGCCCCCCCAAAAAAATTTCAAAATAATCATACACAAAAGGCTACATGTGACAGGTCTCCGGCAGATACCCGATGGGCTCTGCGGTCACACAAATCTCTTTCAGGTACCTTAAGAAGAAACAGCCTTCCACGGTGTAGGCAGCCGGGAAGTGTCAACCGCCCTCACAACTCTGTCAGGACTCAAGTTTCTTCTGACTACTACCCACCTCCTTCATCATTACCTTCTAATCTTCCTTCACGTCTCTCTATACAAACAGTTGACGCCTTAGATGACATTTACAGTGCACAGAATGATAGAATTCATCAAGAACTTCTGTTTTGCACTACAAGCATATCAACTGGTAGAAATATCGATTTTGCCTGTTGATACTTGTAATTTCCCGTTACTAGGGTGAAGTGAATTGCTCAACCTCTGTTAGCAAATGGACTTCTATACGGATGCCTCGATAAATTATGAACATCCCTTGGTCGTTAGCGTTGGAATCCAAGGCCCACGTGGCGTTCTATTCAATACGCATCAGGTGAAGGTGTCTACATCCCACTGTCTGATAGCCATCCTGCCGGTATTCGAACCCAGCACCCATCGTTCTAAATGCCTACCGAATACGAACACCAACTCATGTGAAATACATGCCATTCGTTGTTCACTGATAATGGAAGCTACCCGTGACATTTGAAGCAATGGGCACAGCGTTCGGGTCTCAATGGGAACACCACTCACCTGAGTGCAAGTGAATCCCAATTAGGATGGAACTTGCAACTTGGACTCCTTGATGAACAAGGAATAAACCTTACTGATATTCTGGATTAGAAGAATTCTGTTACGGAACTGCTAACACAGTAGTTGGTCCTAATCATTAATGAAAAAGTAAACTATGACATTTTTGACGGTTTATTTTTAAAATATATATGCAGTGACAAACAGTCTGATGAGTTACTTGGTTTTCAACTTCTGCACTTTGTCGTACACACCATTGAAAGAGTCCTACCAGATTGCTAGCATAGGTGAACATCAAACCTACATTAGCTCCTGGAATCTCTACAAAATAAGAAAGGAATTTTAATCAAAGTACGTATATACTACTAAGATAGTAAGAAAGAATTCAAGTAGTATTTTCAAAATAAATTTGTTACTTGAATTCAATATCATTATAATATTGTATAACTACTAAAAATCTAATCATACTCAACAAGTTAGTCAATGACTAACTGAACACTAATCCATCCAAATTAGTTTTACGCATTTTAGCGTTGGAACTTCAAAATTTCAATGTACAATTGTGAACTTTTAAACTTACTGGTTACAAAGTATTACCGAATCGGATAAAATACTAGTAAATGAAGTCCAACTGAGTCAACAAGATTTATATAATATTCCTAACTTGAAGATGATAAGTTAGATTTTCTTGAGACATTTATAGATGGATCTCACTTTTTAGAGTTTTTTTAAACTTTCATCTAACAAAGTTGAATCATATCTTTTGAAGATAGAGGTACCTGTGCTGTCTTGACAGAGAAAATATAAGCATCTATAGTGATAATAATAATAACCACATACATACATTCTCTTCAAGAATAATAGCAAAAAGGCTTTTACGCATTTCAAGCTCTGTATAGATAAGTTCGCTATTTGGAGTTATACACTTGTTTTATAAATCACAAAAAACGTCTAGTCATAGAAGTAGGAAGTCTTTCGCCAATGACAAAATATTGATTGAGTAAAAAAGTTGGAGAAAATATAATCAGGATGAATCGACACTACTGATTTAATGTTACTATGTTCGCCACAAGAACTTAACAACATCCTTTGATGAAGTCATAGAAAGTGAAACTTGACTAGGAGAATAGTTCTGCTTTGAGGTAGAGAAACTTTCCTAAATCCATAAAATACGGTAAGTGTTCAGTCTATTGCATTTCAATAATCTATTGTGACACTGACTACCAAGAGTCTTTTCATTCTTCGTGCTCATTCGCTGTCTGTTTAGAGTATACATCGACACACAAACTATTGTACCGAAATGCCGAGGAAACTGTTGATAATGTTATACTACATACAGTCTTTGGAACACACAGTACTGGACTACAGAGATGAAGTTTTACAATTAAATTATTCCTATATCGAAAAACAGATTCAGATTACTGTTAGACAAGGTAGTGTAACTATTGGCCGAATTCAACAAATGTAAAATATAGTTGACTTGGTTACGACTAGAAAGGGAACCTAGGAGGCACGTTTCTTCCTATTTTATACTGGTATATTCGTATTTCTTCGCTCAATCAGTCTTTTATCTAAAGAAAATGAATTCCTTGCACAACGTAGAGTTCACATAGACAAAGACACTGATCACGTTTAACTTAAAGATGTAACTGAAAATTTGGAGGAAACGATGCATTCATTATTCGCGTTAACTTTAATACGATACTATTGTCACCGTTCATATACTCTATGGATCAACAGAATTTAGTAAAAATAACATACGATTTCAAGATAATTTATTCGCTGAAGCGTTAATAAGTCAATCTAACTACTTAGTAACTGCAGCCATTCATCAACAACTGCCGCCTACGCTCATTCGATACTAAAGGTTAGGTGGCGAGAAAGCATAAGCAGCAAGGTACTCCGGCTAGCACCGAACCAACCAAGAACCTATCGCCCAACAAATATGCAGAAGAAAGTGGAGATGGACTGGGCATACACTGAGAAGACCGTTCGGAGACATCATGCCTCAGGCCAGGCACTCGAGTGGAACTCGGATGGGAAACGACTAGTTGGGCATCCCAGCTGAGGGTGACATGGAGGAGATTATGTGAGGAAGAAATGAAAACTTCTGGGCAGTCGTGGCGTCAGGTCCAAAAGACTGAAGAGAAGAGAGTGAAATGGATGCGTGCTATTGAAGCCCTATGTTCCACTAGGAACTCAATGGAAAAAATAACTATTTAGATCATACAGATTCTATTGTGGCAACAATATCTTAAGCACATTAGGCTGAGTGAGATATCTCCTGGATTTCCTTGATTACTGTGCATAAAACAAATGGCACTATGATGCAACACGATAACAACTACGGCATCTGTTCACGTGAAGTATGGACTTACAAACCAAGCTTTAGAAACTTGACAACAAAATCTCTTGCCTTTAAGTAACAAATAGTACATGTTGTACAATAATGCCTTATCATACTCACTCATTAACCGTGTCAGTTTTGAAAAGATGAATCTCAGTAGGATTAGAAATAATAGAAGAAATGGTTATTTAGGTAGTGAGCTACAAATTGTGCTGCTAACCAATACTGAAATAAATAACTGTCCAAAAACTAATTTTAAGTCAAGTCAATCATAGAAATATTAGTAAAATAAGCGACAGGAAATAGTGTTAAGCTAGGTTAAGCAACTGAAATGAATAAATTTCATGCTTAAGCAAGATAATTATGCATAAATTTTAACATTTCAGTGTTTTTAATTGCAAATTCACCTGTTACCTTGTAAAAGAAGTAATATCTCTAAATTACACTGAATTACTTGATTTAATATCAGTGATTAGTAAAAAGAAATATCAGTATTATAGTAAAGAAATAATGATAACAGTAAACAATTATTCAACCAATAAATTTTGATTAACGCTTGATAATAAGAAAATATGACACATAATCTCTACCTTTTAGATTACCTACTTAATTTTTTATATTACGGCATGTACATACATTGAAATGAACTTTAACAAACCTAGATTGTCTACATATTTTCATAAAAGTAACGAAGATAAAAACTGATTAGACGATAATCAAACGTCAGACATATTATTGTTTGAATTAAGTTGTTGGTATTTTGAGAATTTCAGTTGATAAATATGATCCATGGTAATTTGATTGATTGTGGCTAGTAGAGGAATCCAGAATGCGCGTTTCGCCCTATTTGGGACTCGTTAGCTGGATGTACCTGGACTCCTCAGTGCGGAGTGATATTATTCCTACCGAGACTCGAACCTTGTATCCATCGGTTCAAACGCCAAGGCGTTATCCATTATGCCATAGAGGAACGATAGCCACTTCTTGTATAACGGGTATTAGTTATTATTATTTATTGGTATACTTGTAATCCTCCATTGTTTTATTGGATAGAATTGTTTGACCTCTATCGAAGCATCCGCATAGGGGCCCATACGCCAATAGAGGTCAGACAATTCGGTCCAATAAAACAATGGAGGATTACAAGTACATCAATAACTAGTAATAAATATGATCTAATTACTTTTTAATTGCCTTCACTATGTTCATTGGATCTTTGCATGCACAAACTATTTGCATATAATTTTGACTTTACAATATAAATTAACTTATTATCACTAAGATGTTATTTGAAAAAAAAACTAAATTCACTTTATTGTGTACATTAACTTTGGATTACATAACTTTCTTACCTGAAAATAATCCTAGACATATGGAAATAATTGACACAGAAGCAATAAACAGTGTACACAGAAGATCCAAACGTACAGACAGCCAAAGTGTAGCAGCCAAGTTGACATAGAAAACATTTGTATGAGTATCTGTTACATCATAAAATTTATCTAAATGGAATGATTCATTATTTGAAGCTCTTATACACGGTAGACCTTGTAATGTAATATTCACCCATGAAAGTACTGGACTACGAGCTAAATATTGAACGAAAGAAACCAGTTAAAAACTATGCACATTTTATCAATGTAAACCATTTTTATAAGTGTTTACAAAAACTTACTATATAAAGATGAGCAAACAAGAATATATCTTCCCTTACTGATAAGTTTTCCTGAATGAATAGAGGACAAAAAAAGTTTTCCTACACAATTTTCAGGTATTCAGTGATACTAAAAATATCTTATAGTGTAGTGAGAAAAAGAAAACCACACTAGATTTTGGAATGTAATACATGTGTAGATTGTAGTGATGGATAGTGGTCAGTAGTGGAATCCAGGACATACATTTTGTTGTATTTGGGACTCGAAAACTAGATGTATCCGGTTTCTAGTGAGTTTTACTTTCAGTAGGTCTTTAACCCAAAATCGATTGCTTCAGACATCAGAACTTTATCTCCAACGTCACTCAGTCATGACAACTACTCCTTGTTCAGCGTAGATTGCGATTAATATTATTATTTGTCCCTTGGATTCCTAGTGGAACATAGGGATTCAGTAGCACGTCACCATTTCACCCTCTTCTCTCCACTCTTCTCAACCTGGCTCCACGACTGCACACAAGCTCTCATTTCTTCCTCACACCATCTCCTCCATGTCACCCTCTCCTCGGACGAAAAACTCGCCGTTTCCCATCTGGGTTCCACTCGAGTGCCTGGCGCGTTATGTCCTTAATTGGTCTTCTCAGTGCATGCCCAATCCGTCTCCACTTTCTTCTGCATACTTGTTGAGTGATGGGTTCTTGGTTGGTGGTTGCCAGCCAGAGTTGCTTGTTGCTTATTCTTTCTGGCCATCTGACCTTCAGTATCGAATGAGCGTAGGCGGCAGTTGTTGATGAATATCTGTAGTTTGTTGGAAATTCCTTTCGCAACGCGCCAAGTCTCTGAACCATACAGAAGCACTGACTTGACTGAATTGGTGTTGAAAATCCGGATGTTGTTCACGCTTTATGCTGGGTGCAGAAGATCTCCACACTGGTTTCAGGTAAATGAACGCCTGTCTTGCTTTTCCGACCCTGGCTTTGGCGTCCTCATTTGTGCCTGTGCGCCTGTAGCTGAAGCGATGCTGCCAATATGGGGAGGTGAAAGAGACAACTTCCCTTAAGTTTCTCCCATTGATGGTGATTGGAGCTTGTTGTTGGTAGATTGCGATGGATATTTATAATTCTCGTATATTCAGAAAAATGAAACTAATATTCAGCTAAGGTAGATAGATATCCTGGTGTTTGGAAAAACTGAAGGGTTCAACTATTGTTAGTCTTAATATTAATGGCTATAAAAACCTATTAAAGTAACAATTAAACTTAAAGAGCTGAAGTAAAGAATGTGTTTTGAGAACAAAAATGGTTTCTGGAGTGATTTACATATCACTATTTAAAAAAATGTGTCGTGCACTTATATTTCATTACTCTTCGTTGATAGGGGGTAATCAAAAATATATTTATTTCAGAAAGTGGAACAGATTTTTTGCCACAATGAATGTGATTTTAGGCTCACATTTGAGAAATAGTTTATTAATTCCAGGTTGCCATATATACATGTAATAATAAAAGGTCATAGATATAAAACTATGTGATTTGCATAAAATGTTTACACTTGTTTAATAACAGTAACAGTAAATTTATTATCAAAATATTCATGTTGAATTTAACAAATTAAGCTTCTTAATATGCAGCAAAATCGAGTTAAAGTGGAGTAAAGTAACCACCAGTTGTCTTGGTCGGTAGTCGCTGATTAAAATCCGACTGTGATCAAAGATAATATATAAAACCATGTTTGTAACATTATTACACATAGAAATCACTCTGATTATCGTTCATATTCATAAATATATTGATCCCGATGAGTTGAGGTAAAACGTTTGAAAAACAAATCTCATTCCTGACAATTTAATTTACTATTTACACATTTCCTACACTGCTTAAACTAAAAATGTCGTTAATATGGGCAGAAAAGCTCAAGTCAAGTCAATGAAGGAGTAAAGCCTTTCTCAAGGTTATAAATACACCTAGAAGTTGTAAGTAAAGAAGGATGATCACCAGATTCCCAATTTCTTGCTGACTATTTGTCAGTCTTGTTCTTGATGTATCAGCTGAAATGTACATTCAAATGGAAGATCTAGGTTGAATACATTCAAACAGAATCTTCTTGTTATATTATTCAAGAAAAAAACAGAAATGTATCAATCCCGGTTGGGTGTTATAATGAAGTGAACCTTGTAAATCTTATAAAATATCCATCGATTCGAGGATTTATTTACAATTATTATATTTTACAGTTGAAAGGTCAATCTATTTCGATTTCAGCCAGTCTGTTATCACGTCTTACTCATCTCTGTATAACAAGAAGTACATTGAAATATCATAAAGCCATTCATGATAAACTTTTCGATTCATTTACTGATGAATAAGTACGATAATAAAGGATTCAAAAAGACAATGTCTTATTAAGAGTAGAAGTTTAAATCCCCATTTTCACCCTTTTGGTGTAGCTGCCTGCAAGGTTTGAGATTTAGGAGAATTACATCAGTGAATTTAATCATAAATAGTAGAATTGTAAACATCGAGGCTGTCATGAAGGAAATTGAACACAGAATTAGATTTAGTAACTAGTTATAAATAATCAGTTTGAACAATGAATTAGCTAACCTATGGTGTGAACACATATAACATTTGACAGTGCATAATTTAAGGTTGAATAAAAATCCTAATATTTTCATCAAGAAGGTGTGGGATACACAGTGAAACCTCTAGAAAAGTATTATTCAATTTTCTAAACGCACTGAGATGATATTAAAATCTAGTTATGTAAATGATAACAGTAGAATTATGAAATACAATAATTCTCATCTTTGAAATGACAGTATATTTAGGTCAAATAACTCTTTAAAGAGTATATTGGGCCCAATTTATTTCTTAACCTTACAGTTTCTACTGAAACTTAATATTTTTTTTCAAACTTTAAGGGTATATTACCATGTAAAGTCTTAAGTCTTTCTAGCAAATATGTTGCACCTTTATGCTTTGCAAATATCTTAGTAACATCAACACTTCTCTTATAAAGGGTAACTTTACAAGCCAAGCCTTGAATATATGACATGTAAATATCAGATGTGAAATAAACTTTATCAGTACACAGTAGTATTAGCTCTTTCAAATACGTTGGAAGGAAAGAAAAATCAAAATTAATGGAAGCTTTATGGTCACAAAATGCGGTCTTCTGAACACTTTGAGTGTCAATTTGAGAATGTTTGGGAGGCTGTTCTCACCACACAAATGCAAATGTTTGCTCCAGGGTTGGTCTTCAACGGTGCCACGGCTGACGATAGAGAGTGTAGAGGTTGAGAGTGTCGACCACTTCACTGGGAAGTAGGATTAGCCCTGGTGGGTCAGTGGCCGATGAAATCTCTGCAGGGATACGAAAGGCTCGGCTGGCTTCTGCCAATTTACGCCATCTATGGCGCCGCCATGATATCTGACTGTCTATTGAGGGTCACGTGTACTGCACTTGCACAGCAGTCCGATCTGTTCTACTGTATGGCTGTGAAATACGGCCATTAAAGGTGGAAGACATGAGAAGGCTTCAAGTGTTTGACCACAGTTGCATTCGTAGTATAGACCGTGTTTCCAGCTGTCATCACGTAAGCAACCCAGAAGTCAAGCTCAGGTGTAGAATTGTAGTGAGAAGAGGTAAATCAGTTGACATGGTTGTTGAACCTTCATCGACTGAGATGGTTGGGACACGTGTTACATATGCCTAGTCACCGGTCGCCTCGTCACACAATGTTGGCCGAAGTGTGTTCAGGCTGGAAAAAGGCTCGAGGTGGCCAGACTAAAACATGGCACCAATGCATGCAGTCTCTGAATGTTGGTCTGAGGTATGTGGGGCGATGCAGACTGGCCGGTTGGGGTGTATGGGACAAGAGAAACCAACAATGGTTGGAGACTGACTCTAGGTGATATGACTCATAACTGATGTCAGTGGGGCAGATGTATGCACAAATTATCCTCATCTTAACATTATGCTGATTCTCACCCCGTTGTCATTCTTTTTTCTTTCTTCTCGTACTTTATATTTCTGTTGACTGAATTTTCCTTTCTTCATCTTGCACTTTACTGCCTTTTTACTTGATGTACTGATATGAGCAAGTCGAACCGTTACGCAGTAATGCCTGGTCCTACGTTGATATTGATGATGACATGGTCACAAAGAATTTCAATGCTTTCTAACTAGAAGCACGTTTGGAGATGAAAAGTTTACAAACTTTTCTCTGATATTTATATCACTAAGATAACCAACAAGTTTTAGTGTATCTTTCCAAGAAAACCTACATAATTCATCCCAAATAGGAATTAAAGTTTTCGCTAACCATTTCTTCAATTCAGGTAACTAGGACGACATAAATGTGCTGGCAGTGTATTCTTCTTTACTCATAACATTCATATCTAAGAATATTACTAGATTATATTTTACTCAACATTCTAATTTTTTAAAAATTTATTTAAAGGAATATCAGACACAAATATACTTCCATCACTAAGAATGGATATTATCTTGCCTTTGAAATCACATTTGTTCATCATTACCACACCTAACCTCTTGTTGGGTTTAAGTATGATTACACTAGATCTGTCTGGAAGATATTTTAAAGCTACCTTGCCTTGAATCTAATTTCAAGATTTTGACTTAATTTTACAACAGTTTTTCATCATTCTAAGAATATACTTGAATTACTTGAAAATTAGTTAATAGCATAATAAATAAATAACTAACAACAATTATAATCATTTCATTTTCTTACAAACTACGGTTAGAATTTATCACTCACCGATTGCTTCAATTCGTCTCAAATCTCTTGATACAAGCATATATCGTCTACGGATTAACCAGAAGATGATAAGGAGGGGTATAACTGGTATTATAACCCAATAACTAGTGATTATAGTAACAACACTGAAATTTATAACCAGTGATAAACACTATAGTATAAAAAAGAAAACAGTTTTAAGGCAAATAAAGGTGTATATATATATATATATATATATATATATATATATATATATATATATATATATATATATATAAATTGTATATGAATGAAATTTGGTAAGCTAGCGTAATCGTTTACATTGCAAAAGGCTAGTTAGTACGATATTCTATTTGGAAATTGACAATGATATATAGAGAGCTTATTTGGTGGAGTTTTGAAGCGTGGTTCGGTTTTCTTCAAAAGATCAGCACTAATTAGAAGGTAAAGTGAAATTCAAGGCGTTCTCTATGATTGATTTAGTCACAGAGAAATCTTGATACCTCATTACATTACACAGTTAGTAATTTTTTCAAGAAACATATCAAGAGATTTCTGATGTACTGATAAATAAAATCACTGTAGAACCTCGCATACAATTGCATCGACTCAAATTACCACACATCACAGTAGTACACAAAGAACACTTGGATACGGAAGGAGTGACATCAAAGTAGACAAAGTTGTGTGACAAAATAAACAACTTGAAGATAACAGTTACTGCCAATATTCAAGCTTAACAAGATATGGAAGAGTGAATACATCTGAGCTATTGTAAACGATTTTCAGCCATCTCACCAACAGTCCTCTACCACAGATTCTATTCATTTCAAGGACCCCAACCACACAGTCTACACTTTTCACACGACTCAGACCAACAGTCAGAGATTTTATCAACTGGTGTCACATCTTTGTCTTTCCATTCTGAACTCTTTGGCAACCTAAACCAGCCTACTTTAGTATGACACATCGAGATAGGCAGTAGATTGTCATACACAGTACACTTCGGCGCCATCTCAGTCGACTAAGGTTCCCTATCTTGCCTAGTACTCTCCGCCTGACCTCAATATTGTTTTCTGAGTAGAAGTGGTAGGAGCAGGAAGCCTTCTCCGCAATCTCAACGTACTATACCTATTCTGTTTTTTGGTGGAATAACCAGTTATTTGAACAAACTAATGGAAAGGAATTCTTTCAAAACAAGCATTCGACAAACAGTGAGAAAGGCACAAATATAAGCGGTTGCTTGTTATGATGAAGAGTAAGCTTGATATGAAATCAATGTGATGGTACCAGTGTCAAATAAATAATGGGACTTTTACTAAACGAGCAGTTAGTTTACTCAGCACTAAATCCAGTATCATATTATTACACAGTTACGTAGCTTCTGAAGCATCTTATTACTGAACACACAACTTCCGCAAACATACATATTCATTTGAAGCGGTAACATACACACCCGCACAGTATTTTCGATTATCATGTGCTACATGTGCTACACGATGCATGAAAAAGGCGGTTTCCCAGCTAGATTTTAACAGATATCATAGGTGGCTAGCAACAAAATAGGCTCAGTGATAATTTATCATTAATTCTAGTAATGAATTTTATAACATGGTCGCCAACTTTTATAACCTTGTAAAGATTACTTGATGTAACCTTAGTTATGTATAGGTGGGTGCTTTTACAATAACCTCCAGATTTCACACCTTTATGGTCACTCAGCGTCTTGATAAATAGAAAGGGCAGTAATATAATCCTGAGTGTATTGCGACGTCAAATCTATGTATACAGAATGCAGTGTTTTATTATGTATTTATGCTGGCCTTGGCTATACCAAGCCTTTTTAGATTTATATGTCCTCTTAGTTTTCATCCATCCAACCAATCTGAGTTCGTATGCTTTCTGTCGAAACTTCGGAGCAACATGATTGGTTGTAGAAAGTTTCAGGGATTTAAGTTTTCCGTGAAAATCGCTATCTTATTTTATACTATAACAATGCCCTAAACTTGGATTATGATCATAGTGATCTTATTTTCAGGCTGCTTTTTTAAAATTTATTATTTACTATAAACTTACTACAACCTCTAATTGTAAGAACCAGTTGTTTACGTAATCTTTTTGGTTTGCTTTACTATAGTCAATTCTTTCACTACTTACTAAAACATGATACGAGGTGTATTATACGTGCACTTCATGAATATCGCTCATGACCCTCAAACCATTTTGTTTTGTTTCACTACACAAGTGGATGAAAATAAATGAGTCATAACTGAGTCTGTAAATAATTTGATATTCTTCAGTGTCACTCAATTGTCAAACCTCGCCTAGTTTACTGGTTCACTAGCCAGTTCTAAGCCCGGATAAAGAGGGAAGGTTGGGCATAGGGCCAGCAACCCTAACCAGGAAAACCAATCCAATCGCTACAGAAACTTCAAAGCACTGACAAAATTTAAATCAACACAAACTTATTCCTCGCTGGAATCGGGGACATGAAATGACGCCAGTTGGTGAAAGCCTTCATGAAGCCAATTGGCCGATGTGTCTTCGCTCTCTCTTGATGAGAGCGAAAGCAAACATGGGGACATGGAATGTCCCAACAATGTTTGAAGATGGCTGAATGACAAGGCTGCCCAGATTGCAAGAGATGAGAAGATATGGCATAGAAGTGCTAGGCTGGGAATTTGTAGATGGAATGGAAGTCGACTCTTCAAACAGTCAACTGGAGAGTCAATAATCTACTCCCATATTCTCACCCAGACGACGACGACGACGACAGGCACACTGAGTTTTGGAGTGGATATTATGATGTCCCCAAGAACATCGAAGGCCCACAGGCAAAGGAGGAACCAGTCTCCTCCAGGATCATGATAGCGAGATATTCAACTCGAAAGGAAGGAAAGTCACAATCATACAATGCTACGCTATGCATTTACAAATAATGCAAATCAAGTGAAGAAGGAGGAATTCCACAGACAGCTGCAATCAGTACAGGACAAGACTCCAGTTGGCGACATCAAAACTAATTCTAATGGATGGGGTGACATCAATGCCAAACTTGGAGTGGACAACACAGGAAGAGAACCAGTCATCGGTCGAGAAGCAATCGGCGAAATGAATGATAATAGAGAACTGTTTGAAGAATTTGGAGCCTATAATCATTTGGTGATTGGAGGGGGTGTGTACAAACACAAAGATATTCACAAAGCGATATAGATTTCACCAGGCGCCAGGACACACTAAGAATCAGATTGACTTCATCTCGGTGTGAAGAAGGTGGAGACGCAGCCTACTAAACACAGGATCACATCACGAAGGGGAGCAGGTGTAGGTTCAAACCACTATTTAGTGCAAGGAATCTACCTTCCAAATCAAGTTGAAAGCCTTCAAAGAAGTTGGTGATAGACAACCACAGTTGAAGTTGAACACCTAGAACAGAAACTGAGGGACGGAACTACAATGGACATCTTCGCGACGTCAGCCATCAGGACAAAATGGGAGACATTAGGTAACATCCCCGAGGAAGAACACTGTAACTCTTTAAGAGAGACGTGGAAGGAAACCTGCATAACCGTGTTAGGAAGAAAACTGAATCAAGAAAACGAATGGAATGGATATCGATGAATACATGGAAGCTGATAGAGGAGGGGAAGGGAGATGGTGAAGCAGAAGATGAACCAGCGCAGTGCAGTGCAGGGATGAACAATGAAAGGAGGGAATGAGTTCAACCTATAAAACACTACGAAGCACAAAGAAGTGAAGAAGAGTGCACGGAAAGACAATAGACACTTCTACGACACACTGGCAAGTGAAGCAGAAAAGGATGCAGCTAGGAGAGACGGAGACCTGACAACATTGTATCAAATAACCAGGTTACTATCTGGGAAGCGATCAACGCAGACGAAACCAATGGAAGATAGTGAAGGAAACTTAGTTACCAAAGAGCAGAAACGAAAAAAATGGGCCGAATACTTCAGAAAACTCTTGAATCGACCACCACTTGCAACTCATTCAGAAACACCACCAGCAACGGCAGAAATACAAGTGAACACAGGCCTTCCGACAAAGGGAGAAGTCCTGAATGCCATAAAACTGCTGAAGTCCTAGAAAGCAGCAGAGCCAGATGGTGATGCATCAGAAACACTGAAAAGAGACGCAGAGACAACAGCCGATATCGTCACACCAATATTCCAGAAGGTTTGCAGGGAAGGAAGGAACGAAAGGTACCTGCCGGTTGGAAGGTCTACCTTTTCAAACTACCACAGAAGAGTGACCTTAGTTCTTTGCAAGAACTGGCGGGGAATCAAGCTGCTGTCCACCTCAAGCAAAATATTATGCCACATCATCCTGGGTAGGCTAAAAAATGCTTCTGATTCAAAATTACAACAAGAACAGGCTGGATCTAGGAAGAACAAATCATGTGCCCATCAAACTGCAACGCTACGCATCATCATAGAACAGAGCATATAATGCCAGTCGGCACTGTACTTCAACTTCATCGACTTCGAAATGGCCTTTGACAGCGTCGATCGAGAAGTAATTTGGCAGGCAACTACTTCAACACTACGGTTTTAGTGGCACAAACCATTATCACCCTCATTCAACAACAGCTATATGCTATGCTATATGATGAAGCTACACGCCAAGCGATTCGCAATGATAAGGTTAGCTCAGTGACGCCTTTGAAGTGAAGACAGGAAGGAGTAAGACAAGGTTGACGCCTACTATCACCAATCATCTTCCTGATTGTAGTCGACTGAACTGAACTGGGTTGGGTCATGCAACAGATAACTATGAGGAGCTGTGAGATAGGCATACTCTGGTTGGACCGATGAAAAAACCCTAGAAGATTTGGATTTCACAGATGATGATTGATATTTAGTGTCTTGTCGCACAAACCCGAAGATCTGCAGGCTGAAACTAAATAGTTGACGGGAGAGGCGAGGCAGCGAATTAAGATGGAACTTCCTTCAGGTGAACATGGAGAAGACAGGTGAGGAAGAAACCCAACCGACAGCAACAACAACAAGAAAAAAATCATTAACAACATGAGAAAGCTAAAGGAAGTTGTCAGTTTCACCTATCTATCTAAGCAGCATCGTTTCAACTACAGGTGCAGAGATGAGGATGTCAAAGGCAGGATCGTGAAAGCAAGGCAGGCTTTTTTTCATTAATCTGAAATCAGTGTGGAGATCTGCTGCACCGCACTCAGCATAATGCGTGAACAAGATCCGGATTTTCAACACTATCAGTCAAGCCAGTGCTTCTATATGGTTCAGAAACTTGCTACCGAAGCCCTATATTCCAGTAGGAACTTAAAGGATAAATAATAATAATGATAATTGATAGTCACAAGATGTTAAGCGTTTCACCAAAAGATTCATGAACTTTGTAAGTCACTAACTGGTTCATTTTCCTTTCACTTTCTAGAGTCATAAAATGTATTCCGACCAACGAAATGATGCAAGCGGAAAGAAAATCAGTGCTATGATGTGGAAAATGTTCGTGAAAATATGTTCAACATTTTGCTGAAGATAAACTGACAGAAGTAGGAAATATGGAGCATTAGTTTACGACTCAGTGGCTCAATGATAACAAGCTGGCTGCAGAACCTGAGGGTACTGGATTGATAGCTGGCGAGATCATGCGCGTTTGCTGCTGAAAGGTCCCATACTTGGGCGAAACAGCTGTCCAATGCTCTTAGATTTCCATTGGTTCCCCTAATTGATTTCAGTCCATGATACTCACCAACCTGAACAAGTAAATAGTTTGTTTCAGTCGATTAGACTGAAGAAAAATTAAAATAAGCTGCAGTTCCTCCCAAATGAAATAAGTTGTTACTACTGAAGAGTAACATCTTAACCATCATGAAGATTGTTTCACTGGAGAACTGATTGAGTTCAATCTTAGACAATATACACACGTTAGTTGATCATTAAGGCTTCAGTTAATGTGTATAGTTGTACTGCTGTGGTGTCGGTTGACCAACAAAAAAGTCATTAGCACAGTATATGGATGCTATAAACAATGCAAAGTGATTATAGAGAAGTCAACTAATAAGAAAAATCAATGAATTGTACATAGTGAAACGTACTGTTAGGAAAAACAACAATAATAACTATTCAACTTTTTGGTATGATAAATAAGAAAGGTTATAAGTGTATTTATTCAAAGCATATGGATTACGGTGAAATTTTGTACAATGAATATTATGAACATTTTAATTCAAGGTGATAACTTAGTCATGCTCTCTAATGTAAAGTACCTAGATATTATAAATCTATTGCATGAGACCATTAGTATTTTGGTAATCCTGAAAATATTTGATGTCAAATAACACTTTATCCTTAAGGATAGATACGATGATGAATGTTCCATCTAACATCTAAGATTCTGAAAGTTTCGCTAAGTTTCTGATCTTTTTAGTTTTGTTCACGTTTAGTGGAATCATCGTGTGAGCATTGTTGAGGTCAGGCGAAGTGCAGTAGGTAAGAAAGGCAAGTCAGTCAATGAAGTTGTGAATCTTTATCGGTTAAAGTGGTTTAAATATGTATTGGACATGTCGAACATCTGTACTGGACATCTCAAACTGCAATGCTAGTGTATTATAACAATAAGAAGGCATTTATGCCTAAAGGCTTTTTCAAACAATCGTTTTACTTTAAAGTTTCGAGAAAAAAACGCGTGAATCAACATATCAGGATCAAGTTAGTTGAAGAGACGAAAAATCAATAGGATTCAAATCTAGAAACGTTTGGAAATAGCCAAGACCACTGTAATGTATATATTGTGTTTTTAATACATTTGTTGACACTGCAAATACACTTTCTGCTATATTACCGCCTTTTCCGTTACAGGGTAACTAAATGACCATTGGGGTTTGTTATCTGAAGGTTATTGCACAAGCGTCCACCTATATATAAATGAGGTTATCTCAAGTCACTACAAGAATATGACTAGAGACAACAGGAGTTGAAATAAAATAGAGGGAGGTTGATTAGGCTGATTGAGGGTTCAGAGGTGTGATACCAGTTGATTAAGTCTCTAACTATCGGTCTAATTCGTATGGGAGATGTAGACTGTCTGGTTGAAGTCCCCGAGAAGAAAGGAATCAGTGATAGAGGACTGAAGTTGATCGTAATGCCTCAGAAGTATTCACTCTTCAACATCTTGTTAAGCTTGAATATTGGCAGTCATTGTTCATCTTCAAGTTGTTTATTCTGTCAAACAACTTTGTCTACTTTGATATCACTCCTTCTGTATCCACCCGTTTTTTTTGTGTACTATTGTGATGTGTGATAATTTGAGTAGATGCACTCATGTATGAGGTTCTACATTGATTTTGTCTATCTGTCATCCAAGTGATAATTTGAAGTGTGCCATCTATCGATTTGTAGCTTATTCACCCTCTCAGAGGACTGATGCAATAGTTAAATAATATAACTGGTGAATCACTGTTTGAAATTAATTAATTTTCCAAAATATAGACGACACACTTAGAAGATGAAGAATGATCTGTAAAGTGAATTATTATTGTTGTAATACACTTTGAATACCGACCAAAGCCGATAAAATGCTGTTTAACGAAACTGAGTATTTGTCTGTATTGCTGTAATTCTTCTAGATACTGATCATAGCGACAGTTATATAAATTGTAATTATACAATTTAAGGCTATAGTTAAAGATTTAGTAGATAAATCAAATAGTTTATGATTAAATCAGTAATAAAGATGATCGTTTATGAACAACTATGGATCTAGGATGTACACAATCTTTGAAATACTCAATAGAATGTAATGAATGCCACTTTAAGACTGACCTGAATAGCATTTTTAAGCTTATACTACTGCATACGTAACTAACCATAAGTAATGTGGTCCAACTAAGCTCTGTGAAATTTTATAATTTATCTACAGTGATTTTTTTCTTTACAAAAAAAGATTAAACCTACATCGTTGGTTACAATCTCATCATTACTACCTACATATGTCAGCTATAATTGGGCCCTAGTAGATAAAATATAACCCACACCACCGCATAGTTTTACAATAAGGAATTTGAATTCACTTCAATTTAGTAGAAAATAAGTAAAAAATCGACAACTATGAATAAAATAAAAATAAAAGCAAAATTGGTCTACAAACCAAAGGTAGTGATTACGCAATCAACTCAAGTTTGTACTGATTTTCTAGTGTCAGTTTTTCAATAATAATAATAACAACAGTAATGGAAATTGTATGAAAAAAACATAAAACTATGAGTTGAATGATATTTCATGTAGCTTTTTCAAAAGTGATCTCACCTGTAAAAAGTCATGAATATTAGTTGGTAAATAATCATCTATCAATCCAATGTCTTTTGAAAATCTGTTCAATATGCGTCCTTGAGTTTGTTGAGTAGAAAGATAAAAGAGTAAATATTATTAGTAAATGTAATCTGTATGTTAATAATAAAGCATGAGGTAACACCTGATTTTTGGTTGGACACTTGTAGTTGTTGAATCCAACAACATCCTTAAAAAAGCTTGGAATTCTCTAGAAAACTTTCACAGACAATCATAGCTTACCGAAAGTTGGCGATAAACTAAGTGATTGTACATGTTAGTCTCAGATTGGCTAAACGACTTTGCAGAAGAAAGTAGAACTTAGCAAAGTTATCAAAAATATGTACCTAGACCGTTACCTTTTGTACATGTTTGACTTGATAATGAACCTTTATCCTATTGGTCGCTTCTGTCTCCTTCACAGGAAGTAAACGACTACCAAAGATGAAGTCCAAGGTTATTGTTCAACAGTCTGACCATATAGTCATATATATCTACCACAAGGATGTATCATAAATAGACATCAATTAGGAGTTTGCTATCATCAAAATTATATTGAACTGATTTATTTCTACCCTAGCGCGCTCAAGTTCTTATCAGTATCCATGTTAATACTTACAACAATAAATATTAGACTTTAGATCACTTGGAACACCTTCATATAATATTAGGAAAAATCACGTTTTCCTTCTACTCAAGTGGTGGTTAAATGGAAGTTACCCTTTTTTGGTTGTATTGTGTTCTCTGAGCTGGGTTGTTTAATCGTGAAGCTTTCATCACCTTGCTAGACGACATCATCATACTGAAGTTAGTGCTGATGATGTCGTCTAGCAAGGCGATGAGAGCTTCACGACTAAACAACCCAAGCTCAGACAACACAATACAACCAAGACCATCCCACCTGAGCTACAAATATTCTCCATCATTTCAAGAAGTTACCCTTTAGCACTAGGCTAGATGCAAGACTTATTAAACATCCGATTTTGTTTATGATTGATAGATTTATATATTGGATGATAGTCGCTCGATATCGCGAATCGACAGAAGTAGGAAACCGTGGACCAATGAACTCTGATCTAGTGACTGAGTGGTTAACGTGTACGCCGCGAAACCTGGAAGTCCTGATTTCGATCCTTGGCATGGTTGTGGGTGAGTACCGCAGATGAGTCCTACACTACAGCTATCCAGTGCTCTCAGTTCTTCAACGGTCCTCCAAATGATGTCAATCCGTGATGACTTCTAAGTATATTAAGTAAGTATAATTAAAAGTCAACAAGTTCTCACTATATTGAGTAATCAGATGAATACAACTCTGAAGGTGAGAATAAGTTTTAAAATAGGTTGAAAAATTAAGTGAAAAAACAACAAATAAGGGTCATGAGGTCACAGAATTTTGTACTAACAAATTAAAGTAATGAAAACTACCAATGTAAAGCTAGATTGACAACAGTATTTTTCGGAATACGCAGATCAGGTTTGAGTCTTTCGATTGTAACTGCTCCAGCAAATACCACAAGGGTACGTTTCAGTTGTTTATACATTACTTTGAACGACTTTAATACGCCGACTTTATGTTCAGTATCAAGTAAATGCTGAAGGATTGCGCAATTGAAACCCTACGAACCCTTAAGAATGAAATTCTTTGGGATATATTCAGAAGTGCGAACAAGAATCCTCCTCTATGTTCTTCCAATTTATTTGCTTTGGCACATATATGTGAATTGGAAAAAGATTTGTCAAAAAACATGATGAAAATATAATGGAATCAATCAAATCGAAGATGATGGAAGTATGAGTATTGTTAGAGAATGTGTTAGACTAGAAGATGAAAGAATAGAATAGTGACTAAAGCTGTAGGAAAAGAACACCTAATCGAGGTATTGTAAGGTGAACCACAAATTTCGTTTGTATGCAGATGTTTAGTTTCAGTCGACTCATTCCAACTGTTTCTGTGTAATGCAGCAATTTACTATCCCTACGTTTATTAATTAACTTGGAAGCTATGTTTGAGTTGATGACATAACCTATATCGATAATGTGTTTACCAGTTATATTGCCAGGTAGCCATGTACCTCTCAACGACAAGCTTTTCGGTACACGTTTAGAGATTTTATTTAGTGAAGACCGTCTCCGTCCTCCCAATATACGTGTTACTCCAATTACAGATAAATAAATAGATACAACTGGAGGTAACACGTGAAGGTCTGACTTATAAACTCGTTCAACGGAGCATATTCTTCGTCTTATAGGCAGCTATGAATTTCACAACAGTATAGGCTAGTGAGATGTATGCATTCAGTTAATAATTATTTTGTGAACTCAATTCAACGCCTTTGGCATTTTTATTTTAGTCAGTCTGTCTTTTTTAGGTTCGAAGTATTTTCCAATGAATTTTATAGGAAAAACTATGTATTAGTTTTGTAAACACGATGGGATTACATAAAATTATATTCATATAGTTACTAAGTCAGATTCAGCAATCAACTTCTACGACGAAATTCATAACAATTATGGGGTCTGGATGTTTACAATTCTACGAAATGTTCATTATATAACAATGGTTTTTTCATTTTTTTTTTAACTATTCATATCTGATGGTTCCGTTAGAGCAGTTTTGTTGCCTATAAAAATAAAATCTTGACTAGTTAAACAGCATAATGAGAAGACGAAGGTTATCTGAAACATGTGATGTATTAACACTATACACTTCGAACAATCTGATCACATTATCCTCATCTTAACGACACTATACCGAATCTCACCATTTTCTCATTCTTTTTTTCTTCCCGTACTTTATATTTCTTTTGACTGCATCCTCTTATCTTCATCCTTCACCTCACTGCCTTTCTACTCGATGTACTGTACTGAGCTGTGGCAACTAGGACCGTTACGCCTGGTCCTATGTTGATGATGATGATCACACATGGATTTGTCGAACTATTTATATGAAAATTTATCAAAAGGGTCAATAAAGTTAATAGAAAACAGAAATTGGGAGGGGAGAGAAGAAAACAAAATCTTAATCACGTTACATTTGGTATAAAAATTAAAATCAATACTACCAAGGTAGGTTCAACGTGAGTACAAATTGTTTTCGTATACATAAAAGGGATTTGAATTTATGGATGACAAGAGCTTTAATGAACGTACGCATTCGGCTCCGACCACTTTCATGTAGTACTTTGAAGGCTGTTTTTATGTCTATCCTACATGTTACATGTTCAACCTTTCTTAAATGCATACCACGATTTCTCCTCCCTATATGTGTGTGTCCACAAATGTATAGAGCTAATATATGTTTCAAATAATCATCGTCTTCTCATTGCGCTGTTTAAATTTATCAAAGGGACTAGTCGCTTTAAATTTTTGAAAAGAAGACTCACTCAGCAAGCACACTGTTAAAAGGTTACATGAACTGGTTAACCTCAAGCATAAAATCTTGACTATACTTGTTTCATAAGCGATTGAACAAAAACTATTAAATGGCCAATATTGACCGGTCTAAATAGACCTATGATTAACTTTGTGTAGTATCGAATTGTCATAATTTCTTTTACTACTCAAGTCCAAGAAGTTTATTCTATTTAACGCTTCATGTTAGCAAGTGAATATCACATCTGAATAAACTGAAATGAAAGAATTGAGTGGATTCGTTTCTACTCTCACATAAGATGAACATATCGTGTACATGGATAAAATTTTGTCTGTTTGTTAGCATCACTTAGTTTAATTCTTTAAGTGAGCTAGAAATATGTTTGTAAATATAAGATGAAGGGGACTGCCAACAGACACACCTCTGTTTGTTATACAAGCCGTCAAAATGGAATTGTACACTTTTTGTGCATAACATCAATAAATCTTTTAGTCTATTGGATAGAAAGCTTATATCAACACGACTACATTTGATATCAATTGTTTTTTCACAGGATTATTAGTGAATGATCAACATTCCTACTAGCAAATATAGAACTATCCTTCAAAGTATGAACAGCTGGCTCAACTTATTGTGCAAGCCACCAAGCGAGTTCGTGGTATGAGTTCGACATAGCCACTATAAGACATAAAGGTATTCCGGTTTTTCATATGTTACATTCTTAGCAAATGTTCGCCTCTACATCTCACTGCTTTACAGAGCTTTTCGTTGATTAAACTTTGCTTCTGCAACTGACTGAGGACTTGATTAATTTTCTTTTAGGCCGGTACTGTCATGTTTTTGTTACTCTTTTCAAGGAAGGAGTGTTTTGTGTCACTCGATTGGTTGAGCATTTTTAAAAGATACTCCTGTTAGTCTAAGACAACTCCACCGAAGCCTTTATCACCTTTCAGTAGGATAATTCGTTCATTCTTTACCAATTCATTAATGGTTTTTTGTTACTCTGGGGAAAACATCCATACGAGATTTTGGATTTATTGGTTAGCCAAATAAACGAATCTGCCTTTCAGTCACTTTTCTTTATCTTATGATGTGGGCTTCAGATTAGACAACCAACATTCAGCAGCAATTCGATCTTACGTATTGTAAGGAACATGGTATTTAAAACCTACAGATTACGTATTTAACTCATTTTTTGATAGGTAAACATAAGAAAGGTTCATAACAAGATTTTCTGTTGAAGAGTTTTAAGCGGCTAAATAAATTCATTTAAAACCTACAGTTAACTTATTATGACTGAATATGTTCTATAATTGACTCGGTGTATCAATAAACAAAGAATTATTAGGTTATTACGTTATGCAGAGGCAGTAATAATCTGTCATCTGAAACCAAATGTATATGTACAAAAGGAGTTTATAGTTAACCTTGCATCGCCTTGATGAATTGTTCTTTTCCCACAGCTTTACTCGCTATTTTATTCTTTCATCTTGTTCTACTGATTGGAAAAATGCAGCACACAAACAAACAAATTTGTTGTTGTCTACCTCATTATTATTTTTTTCCCATTGGGTTCCTAGTGGAACATCGGCCTTCATTAGAATGTCGCCACTTCACTCTCTTCTCTGAAGTCTTTTCAACCTGGCGCCATGACTGCCCACAAGCTTTTATCTCTTCCTCACATGTTCTCCTCTTTGTCACCCTAAGATAGAACGCCCAACTCGTCGTTTCCTCTGTGGATTCCACTCGACGGCCTGGCCTGGCGCGTGACGTCCCCAATCGGCCTTCTCAGTGTATGCCCAATCCATCTCCACTTTCTTCTACACATTGAGCAACAGGTTGTTACTTGGTTGGTTGGCAACCAGAGTTCCTTGTTACTTGTTGCTTATTCTTATTATTCTGACCATCTGATCTTCAGTATCAAACCAGCATAGGCAGCTGTTGATGTGAGGTATGTCTGTATTTTGTTGGAAACGCTTTACGTGATGCGCCAAGTTTCTGAACCATATAGCAGCACTGACTTGACATCGGTGAAAACCTGGATCTTGTTCTTTGTGCTGAGCGCAGTAGATCTCCACAGTGATGTCGAATTAATAAAAGCCTGTCTTACTTTTCCGATCCTGGTTTTGACGTCCTCATCTGAGCCGCCTATAGTTGAAACGATGCTGCCTAGGTGGTGGGTGAAAAAGGCAACTTGCTTTAAATTTCTCCTGTTAACGGTGATTGGTGGTTGTTGTTGTTGCTGTTGGTTGGGTATCTTCATCACCTCTGTCAACGTTCACCTGAAGGAAGTCCGTCTTCCTTCGGTGCCTCACATCTTCTGCCAACTTGTTAGTTTCAGCCTGCAGACCTTCGAGCTTGAGCGACATTAAACGTAGATCAGCATCGGCGAAATCCAAATCTTTTTGTGGGGTCTTTTCATCAGTGTATCCAGCGTATGCCCATCTTCTCGCTCCTCACGGTTTGTTGCATGACCCAGTCCACCACAATCAAGAAGATCATCAGTGATAGTAGGCAGCAGTCTTGTCCTACTCCTGTCTTCACTTTGTCTACATCAACGTACATATAAATACGATGGCACAGTTTTTGTCAATGAAATTGTAGCAAAGAGAAAATTTCTTCGCTGATACCTTTGCTTTATGTCTGAATAGGAGTCGTAAATTTATTTTATCATTATCTTCATTTTAACAATCTTTGTCACACACCTGTTTTTTGATATCAGTGATAAACTATGCAATCAAGAAGTGACATTTTCACTGACAAGAAGAAATACAAGTGTTCAACTTCCAATTTGAAATGATAGTGTTCTTCGTTTAAATGGAAAATTATTATTATTTGTCCCTTGAGTTCCTAGTAGAACATAGGGCTTCAGTAGCACATCTCCATTCCAATCTGCTCTCTGCAATCTTTTCAACCTGGCTCCACGACACCCCACAACCTCTCATTTCTTCCTCGCACGATCTCCTCCATGTCAACCTCATCTCGGACACCAAACTCGTCGTTTCCCATCTGGGTTCCACTCGAGTGCCTCGCCTGGCCTGACGCGTGATGTCCCCGAATGGTCTTCTCAGCGCATGCCCAATCCATCTCTATTTGCTTCTGTATATTTGTTGAGTGATAGGTTCTTGATTGGTTCGTCACCAGTCAGCGTTTCTTGTTGCTTATTCTCATTATTCTGGCCATCTGAACTTCAGTAACGAGCCAGCGTAGGCAGTTGACGAATGTCTGTAGTGTTTGTTAATCAGTGTACAAGGATGAAAGAAACATTTTTTAGAAGTTATATACAAATGAAAAAGTTTGCCAGCATACCTAAATTGTTAGTGTTGTCGATAAGAAAAGAATTTTTTAAATTCATCACACTTGAAGTCTAACAATAATCAACTTCAAGGTAAGAAGAAAAAAAATACTCAAACAAGCCAGTTTAGATTAATCACAGCTTAAGATGATCACCACTATGAACAACTTAACTGAATTAACTCAAATTTGTTTGGTGCTACTGAGATCAGACGTTAATGACTAAGACTATATACTAATAAGGTCTAAGCAATTGCTTCTCAGTTAGTGCGTGACTTTCAAAAGTCATTATTTTGTGAAAACAAATACATTTTTCAAGTTGTTATTCATCGAAGGCTGACATCAGTTGGAGGAACAAAGGAAACCTGGGAGCACTGGACAGCTGTTTCGTCACACTAGTATGGGACTCCTCAGCAGTGCGCACCCACGACCCCACCAGCAGGGATCGAACCCGCGACCTTCAGGTTCCGCGACCAGCGCGTTACCATTGAGCCACTGGGTCACAATCCAATGCTCCATATTTCCAACTTCTGTTAGCTCACGATATAGCGCGAAATATTTCCAAATCTCCACAACCCCCTCAAAATTTAATTGAACTAGTGCTCGTTGGTGACTAGCTTCGAGAAGTATTCCCGAAGTTCCAATGACAAGTCGTGACCGGTGGAGTCAAAGCCTGATGGCCGTGAGGACAAATACTCGACGATGACATTAGGTGGCGGTTTGCGCTATATCGTGAGCTAACAGAAGTTGGAAATATGGAGCATTGGATTGTGACCCAGTGGCTCAATGGTAACGCGCTGGTCGCGGAACCTGAAGGTCGCAGGTTCGATCCCTGCTGGTGGGGTCGTGGGTGCGCACTGCTGAGGAGTCCCATACTTGGACGAAACAGCTGTCCAGTGCTCCCAGGTTTCCTTTGTTCTTCCAACTGATGTCAGCCTTCGATGAATAACAACTTGAAATATTTCCAAATCTCCACAACCCCCTCAAAATTTAAATACACTTTTGACAAACTATTAGACAGAATCTAATATCAAGCTATCAATCTGCATTTGTAAGTAATTCGAGTTAGTTCGATGATATAATTTTATAAGTAGCCAGCTCTTACCTGATGGGTTCAATTCAAAGAATAGTATTCTAGTTGACAAACAAGCTTTGAGCATTAAATCATGCAATCGTTTTGCAATATTTTTCATTTGCTGTTGACAGTTCAAAAAAAAAAAATGGAATTTTGAATAGAAAAATTAAGTCTGTCTTCGAATAATTTACCTGAATTAAACTTGTTCTATCATTATGCTGTGCTAAAGATAATAGAATATACAGTCCGACAATCGTATATAATTATTGGAGCTTAACTTACAACTTCAAGTATCTTAAGAGGTGCACATAAGAGAGGAAATTTAAATCCCTATATTTAGGCTTATTTATAGAAGTTGGAAAGGTATTTTTCTGCCAAAAAACAGTATTGATTTGGTTCTATATTACGATATCTATGAGTACTTCATGGATGATTCAGAATTAATTTGTCCTGCCAAACAGGTTCCAGGTGAATGATGCTTCTTTTTCTCAAACACTAAATATGCATAAAAAATCACCAGTCAAAAAGAATTAGAAGAACAAGATTTTTATCGATGAAAAAGTATTTCTTCCTAACGACTTCATCATCAAGCTATACAGTCGTATTTTTAGTCGGTTAAATGTCAGATAATTTAAGAAAACATTTATCAGTCAGTGTAAACATCATACAATTGGTGGTGATGATGGCGATGGGGAACTGGTTCAGGTGGAAGAAACAGGAAAGGAGTCACTAAATAAAGACGAATTTACGACTGTTCTGCTCGTTGAAACTCTTTGTTATCTATGCAATTACACTGACTCCAGTAATACTGACAAGCTAGCTAAAAAAGCTGGTATTAAGATCTAGGTTTTATGTGCATTTCAGTTGTAATGATGTGATTTATAATCGGATGAATAAAAAATCTCTGTGCGGTCCTAACAACGCCCCGTTGTGGCAGATATCTTTGTGGCAAAGCGGGAAAATGAATCAAAAAATCTAGCAATCTTAAAATTTTATCTTCCAAGGAAGTATATAGAAGTTACTATTCTTATTTGTGATGAAGAATGTTCAGTTGATGCAGTCCTTAGACGATCCAATGATAGTCGCGCATCTATAAAATCCACTGTGGAAGAATTCAATTCAGCGTTCCACTTCCTAGACGTGCTGTTAAAGAGAAGAGATGAGGACTCACTTCAAAGAACAGTCTTTCGTAAAACAACCTGGATCGTACAGTTCCTCGACTTCAATATTTGGATACCCCCTAACGGTAAAAAAAGACTATTAGGACAACACTATTGAATAATAGATACCCTAGGAAATCTGTTGTTAAAAACTTGAAGAAGGAACTGCTCCTCACCTTATTACAGCTCCAAATAAAATTTTAATTATGAATTTGGAATTCAAAGAGGTTACCACAGCTGAAGTGGGAACAAAATCAATAACTAGTGTGTAAGTACATTCAGCTGATGAATTTCAAATAGGACGAAATGGAAGTTATGCATTCCATGGTTAGCAATCAAATAAATTACAACCCATTTCATTTTGTTTACTTCAGTTTGATTTTCCTCATAAGCACCATTTGAAACTTCTTTGTCAGTAACTGATCAGTATATCACCACTCGAAATTAATTCTTCCTTATTCCCTGACTCCTGTTCTATTTCTTCCGCTTGTACTGACCTCCCCCCCTCCCCTCCACTACCATCACCAACACCAAGTGTATCATGTGTATACTGACCGATCAACTTTCTACTGCAATTATCTGACATTTCACCGATTATAAATACGACTGTATAGCTGGATGATGAAGTCGTTGATAAGAAACACGTCTTTGCTGACAAGAATTTCGTTCTTCTAATTAACAAACAAACGGGTATATTTCAGAAATCAAAATGAACTTAATTTTATCGCTTCACAGACACTCTATGCCCTGTTCTTTAGACATGAAACACGACTAATTGCTCATAAAACGCTGAAAACATAACAATATGTTCGCACACATAGGTCTTTTATCACTCCCACTGTTGGATAGTTTATCACAGGAGAGATTTCCGGTTTCGTTTATTCAGGCATTGACCAAGCACTCATACTGAATAATTAAATGACAAGTGACAGAACAGTTAAGTCCTACTACCTTTTTGTGAGACGTATGAAATTCTCACATTATTTTTGCTCTAAAGACTTATCCTTGTAAATAAGACCAAGTGAACGGATTGGACTTGTTACTGAAGTGATAAAGTTGCATCGCATCTTAAAGAAGTGCATAAGAGTTTCTATTTGTGCATAGTATATAACAATCAGTCGATCAGCTATTACTACTATACCGTCCACGGAATTCCGTCCGGATTATGTGATATCCTAAATGACTTTTAATTCAAGGTAACAGGTGATTTTCAAACTTAGTAAGGCAATCAGACAATATGTTCGTACAGAACTGAATTAACACTGGAATGATCATATTTATACTGGGTGATGACTAGAAGTGAAGTGGAAATTTGGACCACCGCAGGATTCGAACCAGCCACCATTGGGTTTCTGGCCCAATGCCGGACTAACTGAGCTATGAAGTCTGACTGATGACAGAGTTTTATTTACTTCAGTCACCGTGGGTTTTGTCCAGTAAACATGTGAATTCGTGACGCGCTACTACCTCTTGATTGCAGTCACACTGGCTGCTCAGTCAGGACTTCCCATTCCATTCCCAATCTAACTGAATTAGAGAGGGAGAGCAGCATGTTGATTATCATTTGACTATCTGAGATAGTTATCTCATTTAACCTACAATCATCACCCAGTATAAATACTGGTCTGCCAAACCACAGCTATCTCGGATAATTCAAATGATAATCAATATGATGCTCTTCCTCTGTAATTCAATTAGATTCGGATTTGGATGAGAAGTACTGACTAGGCAGCTAGTGTGTGAGTACGATCAAGCGATAGTAATGTATCACAAATTCACATTGTAGTACAGCAAAATCCTTGGTGATTTAGGTGACCTCGTAGCTCAGTTGGAATAGCATCGAGTAGGAAACCCGGTGGTTGCTAGTTGGAATCCGACCGTGGTCCAAATTTTCATTTTACCTATAATCATCACCCATTATCATTACTAGTCTGCCAAATTATGGCTATCTCAGATAGTCAAATAATAACTAATAATAATAGGAAAAATATAACGTTTTTCTGGATCATAGTATTAATGTTTCTTACTTTCTTCGTGGGCGAGTGTGTAAAGATTGTTACTCTAGATATGGCATATGCTAGTACCTTAGAGTACTAGACATTCATCACAAACACTAAACATTACCAATAAAAGACTTAAAATCTTTTTATCATCTAGGGATATGATAACATGTTTAACTGATTGAGATGCTATCAGTTTATCGATCAGTTTATGCTCCTACCCTTGTTTTACAGTATTCGAATTGTACACACTATCTTCATTAAATAAAATCATGTGTACAACATAGGAATATAAATGAATAAGCATCAACTACTAACATGTTCAACACAATAACATGTGTATGGACGTATTATATCAAGGAGATTTTAAAACTATATCAAATATAGAGCTTGTTGAGATTGGGGTCTGTTATTACTCACCCTGAAAAATAGAAGCGTGCGACTTGTACCAAAAAACACTAATAGTATAGTTAGTATTACAATAATGTAGAGATTGGTATAATTATTATTCAAATCCCATGTTTTCATGTCCAATGAAGAGGTGTTGAATGTTGAATTATTACGGGTGTCCACAATACGAATCCTAAACATGCGAAAATTGAAGTAATAATTTAAAATAAAACAGTCTGAAAGTAATCTAAAAAAGACAATTAATTCAACTAAAAAATTGAGTACAATTTATATCCTCGAAATTAGTGAATAGACTACTAGGAAGAGCAACGTGTAACACCTCTCATCGAAATAATTCAAATAACAAAAGTATTTAAAGTAAAAATAACGTTCTTCAACTAGAGAATCTTATTCACTAGAATAAATATTTATTTTACTATAGGTTAACTCAAACAAATTTGGTCAGTAAACAAATACTAAAACCTTGAATCAGTCAAAAAGAAAGATATTCACAGGACAAAATGAGCTCAACAACACTTTTAATGACATCAAATTCACAATGGATAAAGAGTTGAACAACCAACTACCATTCCTAGAATAAATGCTGGAAGAGTGAAAAATCAATTGTAGAAGAAGCCAATACACACTAAACAAATCTTTAACTACAGTAGCAACTACGCTACAATGCACAACATTAGCTGCATGCAGACTCTATTCAAAAGAGCGATAACACACTACAGTACAATACCTCCACGGGATAATGAAGAAAATTACCCAATGTCTATCCTTTAGAAGAACAGCTACCAATCAAAATTTATTAGATATCAATCCCGTTCATCATCAACTACAAAGTCATCAACAGAAATCAACGAACGCATCATCCTACCGTGCATAAAGAATATATCAGAAATCACGACAATACTATTGAAACCACCTGGAGTTGGTGTGGTTCATAAACTAACGAATTCCCTTCAAACACTATTATGCAGAACAAAGGATGGAACAACCAAAGAAGACAAACCGAATACCGTCTACAAAATCAACTGCAATAATTCTTGTCAACACCTAATTGGATAAAATGGTCACCCTCTTCGTCTTCGTCTACATGAACACCAGTTGGCTATTAAACGTCAAGACATTTCATCACTCATTTCAATACATGTGGATAACTATGGAAATGAACTCGATTTCGACAATGTAGAAATCCTGGACAGAAGAAACACAAAGAATATCAGAGTTCCTAAAAGTTTAGTATCAAGGTCAGTCACTAGTGAATAGATGAATAGACAGGCCTAATGTATCAGTCAATAAGAAAAATAATAAACAACAGAAGGATCAAGGGTCAACCAGAGAAACAGCCCACAAAAAAATTTATACCGTCAATGACACAACAATCAAGGGAAACAATCAATCACAAACCAGTTCATTAAGGCAAGCGACTGAGTGACTCGCGAAGATCTGTTGACAGCTCACTTCATCAGGTTGAAGTTGGTGCTGAGGATGTTGACTAGAAAGACAATGAAAGCTTTACGATTGAACAACATAGATCAGAGAACACAACAAAACCAGTATCACTCACTTGAGATACGAGTAGTCTCCAGCATCTCAACATCTTCATTATCACTACCAAATTGCAACGCTAAGCATCATCATAGAACAGAGCATAAAATGTCAGTCAACCCTCTGTCTCAACTTTACCAACTTTGAATAGGCCTTCGACAGCGCCGACTGAGAAGTAATTTGGCAGTTGCTTCAACACTACGGAATGTCACTAGTCTTTGTCAACCTCATTCAACAACTATATGAAGACGCCACATGCCAAGTAATTCACAATGGAAAGCACACCTCAGTGATGCTTTTGAAGTGAAGATAGGAGTAAGACAAGGCTACCTAATATTACCCGTCATCCTGATAGTAGTGGACTGAATCATGCAACAAACAGTGAGGAGCGAGAAGAAGGGAATAAGCTGAACAGCGAAAAGGAACCTAGAAGATTTGAATTTCGCCGATGACTTGTGTCTAATGTCACACAAACTTGAAGATCTACAGACGAAAACCAACAAGTTGATAGAAGAGGCGAGGCAGCGAAGACGGGAATTCAAGTGAATGTAGAGAAGACAGAAGTGATGAAGATGCTCAACCAACAACAACAACAAACTCCAATCACCATCAACGCGAGAAACTTAAGGGAAGTAGCCTCTTTCACCTCCCCACGTTGGCAGCAACGTTTGAACTACAGGCGGCACAGACGAGAACGTCGAAAGCAGCCAGGATCGAAAAAGCAAGGCAGGCGTTCATTAACCTAAAACCAGTGTGGAGATCTACTGTACTCCACTCAGCATAAAGCGTAAACAACATCCGGATCTTCAACACTAATGTCATTCAAGTCAGTGCTTCTATATGGTTCAGAGACTTGGCGCGTCACAAAAAGCATTTCCAACAAACTACAGATATTCATCAACAACTGCCTACGCTGGCTCGTTACTGAAATTCAGATAGCTAGAAATAATAAGCAACAAGGAACTCTGGCTGGCTGGCTGGCAACGAACCAATCAAGAACCTATCGCTCAATAAATATACAGAAGCAAATAGAGATGGATTGGGCATGCACTGAGAAGACCATTCGGGGACATCACGCGTCAGGCCAGGCGAGGCACTCGAGTGGAACCCAGATGGGTAACGACGAGTTTGGCGTCCGAGATGAGGTTGACATGGAGGAGATCGTGCGAGGAAGAAATGAGAGGTTGTGGGGTGTCGTGGAGCCAGGTTGAAAAGATTGCAGAGAGCAGATTGGAGTGGAGATGTGCTACTGAAGCCCTATGTTCTACTAGGAACCCAATGGACAAATAATAATAATAGATTTGTGATTACCATCCATTTCCCTTGACTCGCTATTACATTGTGAATCCTGAATTTCGAAAATTCATTTATTTCTGCATATTGAATGTTGTTATTATTACTGTTAGTAATTCATTTCACTAGTAGACTGTTTGTAGTGCATGAAAAGTCATGAAATAAAATGAGCTTGTTTTATTCTGCAAATATCTTTGTTTTTGTTGTACCCAAATTTCTCTAAAGAACTAAACTATAAATGAGTAAATAAAAATATTTTTAACCATTAACATGTTTTGTAACAATTACCATCGTGCTATCCACATATCGAATGTTGCGTAAATCATGATTGTGAAGACAAACATTAGGAGTACAAATATTACACAGAAGAAACTATCACCCATTCTCCCAAAAGCTAAATAATTTCTCCATCTAACTTTTCCACGACGAAGCTGTTCAATGACTCCAGTTTCATTAATTTTCTCTTCAACTACATTATCACCCATATGAATATTTGTATTATTAAATTCCACTTTATGCTCTGTAAGATAATCGCTTATGCTTGACTCATCTGGTTCTCCACTTTTCACTGACTTGCAAATGACTGTCATGAAGTTCTATAGAAATTAAAACAACACATTATCTAGCTATGCGATTTGCTTGGACATGACAAATGAATTTAAACGTGACTGCCTAGTACATATCCTAATTAATATATTAGTATAGAAGGGATAACACATTTGTGAAAGATTCTTAGAGAATAGTTAGTCATAGAAAGTGAGACAAATCCTGTATAACAAACAACAACCATGTTGGTGATTAGACTACAGGTTGATCAATTTTCAAATGATTTAAAAATCTCACGGACCACTTTCATATTTCTCTAAGCTGAATAATTTTTCAACTGCCCAACTGTAGTATGAATATGGTTTCTGTTAGAGACCACCAAACCAAGATCAAAAGGTCTGATATCCGACACAAAAGTGTCATAAAGCAATGAAATATGCTACCAAACAACTTGAGTAGTAAGCAACCTTTCAGGCTGATCTAAACACTAGACTAAAGTTTCGTTGAAATCATTATGATCTCGCTGGTGAAACTTACAGATCAGTCTGAGTGGTTTCTGACCACTTAAGTGGTGTAGACTTCCTAAAGCGTTATCACTAGAAGGTAGAACTGGTTAAATTTCTTGTTAAAGTTTTACTTAATGCCCGTAAGTATGGTATATGCTTTTCACCATTAAAGTGCAAAGTACTCTTGCAAGATTGGCAGGAGAATGCGCCTTAATGGTGAGCCGCTGAGAGTAGTCTAGAAGTTCGTGTATCTGGTTGGTTGTGTGTGGTGACATTTTCAACTGCATATCGAAAGCCAGAGTGGCATACGTCAATCTGGGTCACCTTTGGCGCCGTCACGACAGGTGATGTTTACAACGCCTCAGTGTGAGCAGTTCTCCCTGATGCTTGTGAAACCCGGTCTTTCTTAGCTGAAGACATGCAACGATGCTGAGTGTTCAGTCATCGTTATCTCCGTCGGAATGGGCACATCCGGTGGCAACACGATGTAGGTAATCATGAGGTATGACAGCCTGTGTTGGAGTATGATGGAGATCACCGTTCAATAAGTAAAGTTATCTGGAAACGCCGGCTTCATTGGCTTGGGCATATGTTACGCATATCATGACAACGGCTTCCATACAGTTCGTTGTTTGTTACCCCCACGACTGGATGGATGAAACAGAAGGGTGATCAGTGTATAAAGTGTCGCCATGGGATTAAGAGTAGTTGTACAAGATTAGCATCTGTTAGTGCTTCATGACTCCCTCGGTGGAATCGGAGAGATCATGCAACTCAGTGGCTTGAGATGCTGTCAGATATGGCTGAGAATCAAAACCAGTGGCAGTCATGCTGTAGCTTTCTTCTATCTTCTGCCGCTGAAAAGTAATGAGTGTTTTGTTTTGGATGTACCTTACTGGACTGCCCTTCTAATCATGCTATTCTTACTGTGTTTTATTTTTTATTCATTTCCCTTCGCTTTATGTCTTCATAATGTTGTTATATTATTTTGTGTGCGGTGAGTGGTAACCAAATAAATCATCATCATAAATATTCAGGTAATATCGAGACATCCGCATAGAAAACTGTATGCCAATAGAGGTTGAACAGGTCGATCCAGTATAACAAAAGAGAATTACAAGTATATCAACAAATAGTAATAATAAGTGTTTGGCTTGTATGCATTTACAATGAACTGCAAAGGCAGTGATGTATTTTTCACAATGAAGTAGTCATACGTAGTGAATTAAAGGTATCTCCGAAAGTAAAACACTTTTGAAAGTTACGCAATTGAAAAATCAAGAAACATAATTTGTTTTCCCAGGTACGTTTGCATATTTCATAGATACATCTCTTCCAAAGAATGGGTACTAAGTTCGATTGACTCCAAAGGTCATTCTAGTAACTGCTGAGAAAATCAATCAGGTGTCTTCATTCTGTGAAAAACTACCTTCTCAGAAAGAAATATTCAAACTTGAGTGGCTACTTCAACAGTTGCTAAGGTGGTCTTGAAAGTCACTCATTGCTTGAGCGAATTTAAAGGCCACTGTAGCATCGACTGAACTAGCTAAATTATGCTTCTTCATAAAGGCTGGAAAAGCAGATCTTCAAAAAGTCAAGAAGTTTAATCGACTACTTCAGCTGTTGCTAGGGTGGCTTTTACAGTCGTTTTAAGTATACTTGTACAGTTGCAGAGTGAGATGCTAAAAAAAATCTCCTTTCACTTAATCATTACATTGGTGTTCAAGTTTACAAGTTTTTCGATACACCTACAGCTATAGTTCAATTGACAAGAACTTCAGTGTAAAAATAAAAAGGCCAAACTGCAAAGAAGAATAAAATAACATTCTCCATATATAAAAGAATTCTTTTATTATTGAGAATTCAGTTTATCCACTTTACACTTGCCTGCACGACTTCAATGAACATTCAGTGTTTCCATTTTATTCAGTGGGCTATTTCTATTTGAACCCACCTTATTATTAGTGAAATTCGGTATATATATATAGGTTTGTACCTCCAGCAGCAATACATTTATATTAATTAGTGAACAATTTGCGTCAAACATCAGTACTATTCCTTAGATATGTGAGCAAAATGCAGTTATGTAAAAATTAGTTATTTGTTGCAAGTACTTTTCTCATAAAATGTTTTTAATCCGTATCGATACCTAATAATCATGTAGTAGAAAAGAGTGCACCGACCTTTTGACCTCTAACGGATAATTAAATATTTATGACACCATGTCGATCATAGTTTGTATGATGACAGACTCTGTATTGTTTTTTTACTGCTAGAAATTAATCACCTAATTTATAATGAGAAAATTTAAAAATTCTCACTTTTTTTCTAGAAGATGATGTTGAAGATGGTCGAAAACAGTTTTTCTTCTCCAATGAAATGTTCTTGATAGAATCTCTACGAATTGATGGCAATGATAAAAATGTTAATTCATCTTGTACCAAATCTTCTAATTCACTTGTAGATTGAGCAATTGCATAAGAACTATCTAGTCGGCAAGGTTTAAAAATTCGTTGAGATCTTGAAAACTCTTCACTGAATCCATCAAATTTGATACAAATTTCATCACTGAAATCACTATCTTCTGCTTCCTGAATGAATATTTCCTCTTTATGTTGATCAACTGAGCTACATATAAAATCATCCAATTGTAATTTCTTTGTTTGAAATTCAGAATAACTGCCAAAAAATATCATTTCGCCCTGAAAATGTTACATTTTTATTTTCAAAAAATATTGAAATGTTAGAAGTAAAATAATATTCCCTCACTAGCTGTGAAAATGACGATAGTTTACTAAAATATTTTATAACTTAAAATGTTGATCTAGTTGTAAAAAAAAACGATGGTGTCACATATATCAACACAAAAATTACTGAACTTTCTAGAGTTTCATATATTATTATCATTATATTATTACTTGTCCCTTGGGTTCCTAATGGAACATAGGGCTTCAGTAGTACGTCTCCATTCCACTCTCTTCTCTGCAAACTTTTGAACCTGGTTCCACGACTGCTCACAAGCTTTCATTTCTTCCTCACACGATCTCCTTCATGTCACACTCACCTTGGACGCCCAACTCATCGCTTCTCATCTGACGACGAGGCGAGGTTAGAGTTTCATATAAGTGTATTTTAGCCAATGTTCGTTTCAAGCATCTTCAAGCTACTGATCTTATTTTTATTCTACCCAAAGTATCGTTTAAATGTACGATCACTGATTTTTAAAAATTAATGTTTTTATGGGGTGGTTTAGTGAATATGAAGTTAATCTTATGAAAATCCAACTTATAATACATACAATGAATTATGCAAATATAATTTGAGGCGACTAGTATACAAATATACAGACAAATCAACATTAAACCTGTTACAGAAATACATTGGCTTACATTGCCACACTTTAAAGTAGCATGGGAAGAAAGGTGGACAGAAAAAAAGTGATGTAAAAAGCAGGGAAAATTATATGAGAAAAGACTACGTAAATAAATGAAGGTTGGTTAAAATATTGAAAAACTCAAAGATGACAAAGAGTGCCGAAATGCATCACTGTAACCGATTTTGAACTACATCACAGAAAGTCTCCATCCATTGATTCCTAACATTTTTTACCATCAAAGTCAGATACCCTGCACATGCCTACGTGGCTCAGTCCAAACGCTAGAAGCTGTATAGACTAGCATCACGTCTTACTTGACCTTTGTCGAAATTTTTCAAACTCAGTATTAGTTCAGCTAGTGTCTTACATTAAAGATGATAGGTCTGGGTGTGCAACATATGTTCAAATCACCTAAGTCGCCGAAGATTCATAACTTCACTAACTGACTTACCCTCTTTGTCTAGTATGCTGTGTCTAACCTCAACAATACTCACACAATGATTCAGGGCTATGAAAAACCCGTAAGCTTAGCATGCATTCTTTTTTTCAGTACTTATGTCTCACTGCCATATAATGAAATAGAGTGGACAGATACGTAGTATACATTACTTTTACTTAGTAATTGAATTCCTTACCAGTGGCAAAAATGACGTTAAGTGACGAATGCAAATTTGTCCTCTTGAATCTAGACTAAGGTGTCTTTACAGCCAACATGTTCAGACTGATACAAATTCAAGAATCTCTTTAACTACTTCACTTCTTATCAGTGAATATCAGCCGTCATGCAATATTGAATATTTGACGCATGCAAAACGTACTCAGATTTCTGCTCAAGACTTTCAGAAGACGCTGCATTTTATCAGCATCTTCGTCAAACAAGATTGTGATATTTGAATGCTAAAAGTGCGCCAGGCACTTTCTTGTCAGTAGTTTAATGTCTGAAAATTCAGAGTTACCTAAAATTATGTTCATCAGCACGAAGGCAACGGAAACTTTTGACGGAGGCTACTGATAATCCTTACTTCAGATGACAACTCTCCATAAGCCTTTACACAGCTGCGTGAATTTGAGTAAAGTGCCTGCATCAGTGAAGTAAACTTGCTTGGTGACAGTTAGAAATTATCATAACCCTTCTCAGTCGACAAATTCAAATACTACCTACATCTTTCAATGTTTAATTCCTAACTGTATATTTGAAGAAATGATGTTGTTTTTAAACCAACTGATAGTTATAACCTGCAGGTTACAAGCATGAAAATTTAGAAGAAAAATTTCCATCGTTGGGCAGAAAATTAATTTATGAATTGATAAAGTTCTCTTTTTTTTTCTTCACAAAATAGCATTGAAAGCCCTACAGCATTTAAAAATAACTATGCACTGTAGTCTACATAAGTTCTTAGAGGTACTAGCTGACGAACACATTAGATACTCTGTGAGCTACATCTGTTATGTACTTCTTTCTCAACGATAGCTTACGCTTATAAACTTTACTTTTTTAGTGAATGATGTTTATGGTTTCAACTTGGTACTACACTGCGATGTCCATTTTGGTAACTTTAACATGTGTGTAGGTGAGAATGACGATATGATGTTTATTTAACTGTACAATGGCTTCAGTAGCGGAACCCGATATAGACAATCGACGGTGATCAAATCACAGCTATCTCCAGTGAAAATGAAATAATGCCAACAGATGAAACGTTTGGTCAGTATTATTAGGATTCAAGGATATTAATGGAATAGAGTAGACATTTAAATACAAAGACTCGCAATTGATGTCCATCAGAGGTGTCCACTTTGTGCATTCCTAATTACCTTTATTATAGACGGGCTCACGGAGGTCTCCTTTCTCACATGACTTAATAGTGGTAGACCTTGTCACAGGTGATCCTTAGTGGTTGAGCAGCATGCAAATTACTTAATTCTGTTAAGTAAAGATCCTAACAAGATGCAGGGTCTTCTGGACATATTGAGTGGCAAACTGAGAACGTTTGAGATGAGTTTCTCACTGCAGTAATAAATATATTTCTCCAAGAACAGTCTTTCATAATGCATCATGTAATAATAGAAGGTATAGTTCCTGTGTGCGTTGAAAATTTTACTAGTTTGAGAAGTTAGGTCAGGTATGGTGGGTCACTGATCGACGAAATCTCTTTACGGGCATAAAAAATTCGACCGACTTTCGTCAGTACACGACATTTACGACTTCATCCTGTTATCCGATTGTCTTTTGAAGGCCGAGTGCATTGTCCTAAAGTTTGCTCTTTCCTATCATATAGATGTAAAGCATGGCCATTAAAACTTGAGAACATGAGCAGGATTCAGCTATTTGACCATCGTTGACTTCGCAGCACTGATTGTGTGTCGCGGAACCACCATGTAGGTAAATTACAGGTTAGGTATAGAGATTCAGGTAAAAGAGAGAAGCCAATCGGTTAGGCTGTGTAACTTCATCAGCTCAGAGGGCTGAGATATGTGTTACGCATGCCTGTACACCATCTGTAAAGTCATTTAATGTTGTTTGAAGCAAATTATGGCTTAAGAAAGTTTAGAAGTGGCTAGACTAAAACATGACATGAGTCTACGAAGTTTCTGTCTTTTGGTATGAACATTGCAAGGAAATGTAGACTTCCGAGTTGCAGTCTGTGTGACACCTGGAACTGGTGGTTGAAGACTCGGAATGATATGGCTCAGAATCGATTTCAGTGGCGCAGACAGATGCATATATTATATTCACCTGGATCATCATACCAAACTTTGTCATCTTTTTATTCCTTTTTGTTCTCTTTTTACGAATCCCTCACTACTTCTGACTGATTCATTCCCTATTTTTGGATCTTTCATCTAGGTAGCTTTAATAATGGCGTTAACTTTGATGCAGGGAGTTGTGGCAACTTAGACAGCTATGTAGCAAAGCTGGAAGAAACATATTTCAAGCTAATGAAGCAATGGAACAATTCAGTTATGTTTGCTGAAAATAAACTCATAAAACCAGATTTGGTATTCTTTTTGAAAAGGTTACCACGTCAAGATAACAAAAACCATTCACTCAATAGTTAGAATTATTGAAATTTACAAATAAAGGTCAACAATTTGAATCAACATCACTCTAAAACAGAATAAATTAAACAATTTTATTACCTCTCTAAGAACTAAAATTTTGTCCATGCATGGTAGAAGTTGGTGTTGATGTGTTACAAGTAGACGAAGTCTATCCGACAAGAAACCACATATACATTCTTGAAATAATTGATTTGATACACGAGCATCAACAGCTGCCAACGGGTCATCCAACAGTAAAATTTGTTGACGAGAATATGCTATCCTGGCTAAAGCAATACGAGCCTTCTGACCACCGCTTAAACTACCACCACGTTCACCTATATACGTTCCATCCCCATTGGGAAAACGTGATAGATCCTGAGAACAAAAAAATTCAATCAGATTTTTTAGATAAAAAAAACGAAACAAACCACTTATACTGCAGTATAATAATTGAGGACTCATAACATAGAATTGTTTTTATTCTATATTCTTAGGTAACTTGGTAACTTTTAAACATAAAACATGATCATTTTTTCAGCTATAAAAACAGAAATGTTTTAATAGCGAAAAATTAGTATCAAAGACTTTTCATATAATTTTCGCATCTGTTTCTCGCACTATAGAATTACAACAAAATCGGAAAACATAACAATGACAAATGTTCTTAGTTCAAGTTATTAAGTGGACAATATCAAACTTAACATAATGGGTTTCATAATATTGAGAAATTACATCTCAAACGACGCTTTTATTTAAAACAATATTCTATTCAATGTTATTTTTAAGATTAACAATCATTCAAATATATAATGTATTGACTATGACTAGCTATTCCACAGTTTACTAAAATTATTTGAACCAAACACCGGTTTTTTTTACCATATCGAGTTTTCTCTCACAGTGCTCATCATCTGGTGAGTAATAAACACAAACAGTAACAACTTCAAGGATTAGGAAAAACAAGTTTGAAATAATCTGGTTGTCTATGTTATTTGAATTACAAGTAATACATTCTTCGTCTATTTTTGATTTCTTATAGAATAATCTATTTTATAGTTAACCTCGTGATGGCTAGCAGAAGAATCCAGGACGCGCACTTCATCCTGTTCAAAACTCATCAGTCGTTCTAATAGCTGTGTACAACTAATAAATATTTCCTATCACCTTCTATATCTACATTTCAGTTGCTTTTACACCACATTATGTCCATATATTACTTTCATTACTACTTAGTTTGAAGATAGCTAATGGCTTGGATAAAAATTGCAACGAACCAATCATTTCTGCATTTGATATCATTTGTAACTAAAACTAACAGCCGTCCAGATCAGGTTTAGGTTGGAAGTTGAAACAAGACGGACGGTTCAATATCCTTATCCAGATGTATTCAAGAAAAATTTCAAAATGTACAATACATATATGTTGATGACATATTAGTCATCCATAGCAAGGATTTAAATATACAGTGTATGCGTTCAATCCGTGTTATTCTCCCTTCACCTTAGGAGTGCAAAGTGAATCTCACTTGAGGATACCATTTAATGATGTAATAATTTCAAGACTACAGGATGAATGTCTTAAAAGATTCATTTGTCGGAATAATACATAAGATTTTTCGCCCGTAGATCCCTGCTAACTAAAAACGAAATTTAGTTCATTAGCTTTCTAATAAACTAAAGACATTCATCAACAACTGCTTACGCCACCTACTGAAGATCACATGGCCAGAAAGAATAAGCAACAAGGAGCTCTGGGAACGAACCAACCAAGAACCTATCACCCAACAAGTATGCAGAAGGAAGTGGAGATGGATTGGGCATAAACTGAGAAGGCCGACTGAGGACATCACGCGTCAGGCCCTCGAGTGGAATCCTCACGGGAAGCAACGAGTTGGGCGTTGGTGCTGAGAGTGACATGGAGGAGATCGTGCGAGGAGGAAATGAGAGGTTGTGGGCTGTCGTGGAACCAGGTTCAAAAGATTTCAGTGAACAGAGTTAACTGGAGACGTGCTAGTGAAGCCCTATGTTCCATTAGGAACCCAAAGGAATAATAATAATAATATAGCTTTCGTCGCGAATTCATTAAGTTTATAGATTTGACACACTGGAACAAGAACTAAGACTTCTGAGTTCTATATCCATCATAAATAGAAATCGAGGAACAGTTGTTAAAAAATGCCTTTAAAACTGCCTGTGAAACACAGCAAGATATACTAAGAAACTGTCTTCGAAATTTGCATTTAATGATAATACAGTAGATGGTATTCTGGAGAACATATTATAGAAAGCTAGTGAGAACATGTTCTATGTCATGGCTTCGTAAGTTATTTATGTAACCCTTCCAACAAGGAACACTAATGTGAAGTATGCTGTATCAATTCTGGTTGCTTTAATATGCATATATAGGTCCACTTTCTCCAGTAGACGCCAGTACATAAACTTCACACAGAAGCAGGCAGCTCAACGTCGATGTATGTACCTTTCGACACGGCTCAGTAACAATAAGTCCTGATAGAGTAAACGTTTAATCCTACAACACTTAGTTATCACTAAACACATAGTTTCGAAATATAGTCATCTTGTGTATTTCCTAAGATTCCGAAGAAGTTTCCGAGAGGTGCTGGCAAAGACTTATCAACAGGTCTAAAGTCTTAGCAATAAGCAATTGAAAACCATAATTGTATGTTCAAAAGCAGGTTTTCTTTCGAAAATATTTTTTCCTTGATTGACATTGTATTTACTCGTACATTGTTTATTCTCGTTATTTCCTGAGCTTTGATTTTGCAAACTTGTAATTATGGTAACTTGTAATTCGAACCTACTGCACTGTAAATACATTAATCCGTTTTAGTTTTGATATATCTTTCAATAAGTCGAACTGTAGTCGGTCACAGGAGACTAAAATAAATGTTCATATTTTTTATTCCATCCTGCATAATTTTCAGTTGCGTAGTCAAATCATCAGGAATGAGCAGCAATGAGCATGCTTTCTATTGGCGTGTTAAGTATGATTATTACACTCTTGAAATAAGTCTTCAGTCACTGAAAAAGTTAGTTCAGCAGAAGTGATGGCTTCATGAAAGTAGATTACTTGAAAATTCATAACTTGATCTTATGATTCACACAGTTTGAGAACTCTGTAGTCGTGAACAGTGAGATATTTTTTCTAATGCACCAGATGTTAAGTAATTCCCCGAGTTCAGTATACAACTGAGTATGAGGCTTTAGAAAACCAAGTAATTAATTCATTATGTTGGTGTGTAAAAATCCGAACCAATAGACGGAATGATGTTGCTAGAACTTGCAAAGAGACAAACAGCAGGGAAAAGAGGTAAAGGTAATCTGAAACATAAGCAACTGATATTCCAAGTCTACCTCCACCATATGAATTAAATTCTAAGTGTCTACGAAAGAAAGCAGATTGGTGATACTACGTCGCTATGGGACTCAAAAGTAACTTGCTACTAATCAGTAACATTTATTAACCCAAAGGTATTTAGTTTCAACAATTTTCCAGCTTCTTCGAGCACACTACTACTAGGAACCCAAGGTAGTTTAGGTAAAAGTAATGGTTATTTGCTTTGCAGATGTTTTTACAGCCCAGCTTTAAATAAACAAAATGTAATAAGATTCTGAGTACACAGTTTCTCAGGAAATTGCTTCATTACTTACGCATTTCTACATGAACAGTAACAAGGATTTTGGATTATATCACTACTTAATTCATGAAAGTAAGTGTCTTTTGATTTTATGGCAGAGATGGGGGAACTTAGAGATGACACTATCGCCGCTTCGTGAATCAGCACTACCAATCATAAACACCATCCATTAAATTAGCCTTTTTCTGAGGTGACGTCTAAGAGTTTTCATCGCACATCGTACAACAACGATCAAAATTATATGTCATTTTGTAAAAGAAAACTAATGTTATTCAGGTCTTTCCCATTATCTGGATATGATAGTCGAACCCTTGTTAAGACCTACTACGCATTTTATTTATGCAGTAGATATCAACAGTTACAAGACGTTTATCATCAGATTTTTTACACCAAGTTTTAAGGCCTTGGTTGAACATTATGCTTCATCTTATTATATCTGCGTTCTCTGTGCATAACGATCATTCGTTGATCGTACAGAAATCGGGACAGAGTGAATGTAAAAGCATCTAGTTATCTCTAACACTGTAGGTCTTTGGTTGAAGAAACATGTGGTAACCGAAACTGAAATTTTTTTTGGTTAGAAGTAAGACATGAAACAGTTTATAGGAACGCAAATAAAGCTAGAACCATCAACCTAATACTAATAATATTCACATTATTCCAAACAACATGTATGATACAGTATGCAATTTTCAGCATGGAATATTTCAACAAATTCATTTTCCGTACAATATTTTCAAAAGAAATAATTATATATAATAATAACAGTATCGAAGGCATAAGTGTGAAACTGGCAGCTAGTGTTACTTTAGCATCTATTTTCGATTCGGAAATTAACAAGGAAATCTAGTGTAATTCTATATTAGATTTGTTTATTTGATACAGTATTGTTTACTTAATGACGTTTCGAGCATACATTATTGCTCATAATCATATCACATTGATATAATTAGAGTAGTAGAATATTATTTACTTGATTTCACCGCGTGTTATAAATCAAATAAACAAATGTAATACGGAGTTGAATTCTACCACAGTGCCAACGTTTTACATCTATATTACCTGCAGATACAGTTAAGAATAAGGTTAAAAATTCCACAGATGATCTAATGCGCCGAATGAAGACATCTCTGGGTAAGTCTCAGTGGTTTAATTTAATACGTAAGACTAATAATCCCAATAGAAAGTATGGCACCATTCAGATTCCGAAACCAGGTTATTCTATTAGGCCAATAGTTGACTTGAGAAACATACGAACATATACGTTATCTAAATATTTAACTACAATACTATACCCTATAAGAAATCACTTAAAATCTAGGCTCAGCAATTTGTTTGAATTGAAAAAGACTAAGTAAAATACAATTATAGGATGGAGAAAATATGGTCAGTTTCGGTGACACCAGCTTCTGTACAGATACACAAATTAATATGCACTTAAGGCAACCAGAAATGAACTGAGAATTGACTATAAACTCAGTATTAAAACTAAACTTTCTATTGAAGAAATCATGCTAAAAATAAGATTATGTTTAACTTTCATAGTTTTCAAATTTCAAGGCAAGATATATCAACAAACAGAAAGAGTGGTGGTGAAATCTAGAATATCCAACATTGAAGGAGACGTCTTTATGGACATTTTTAAACAGATATCATTAAGAACATTCAAATCCACCCCAAAAGTATGGTGGAGATATGTTGATGATATTTTTACTGTACTGAAATCAGAACACATTCAGAGTTTTTTCGCATACATTAACTCGATAGTAGATGTAATCCAATTCACTTGTGAATCAAAATATGAAGAACGAGAATCACCACCTATTTTGCATTGCAAAATTAAGAGGAGAGAAGATGCGAACTTAGATATCAGTGTTTTTAGGAAACAAACACATTCAAATAGATACTTGGATTTCACATGATCTCATATAATATCTGTCAAGGTAGACTTGATAAAATGTCTAAGTAACTGGACTAGGAGTCTGACTTGCAAGTCAAGAAACCTAAATAAGGAAATGAAACACTTTAAACAGACACTACTTCTTAATTATTACCCGACAGAATTTATTGGTAAGGTTATAAGGACTGATAAGAGAAAGAAAAGGTAACGTTAGCGATAATTCCAACATGCCTAAGAGGGAATTCAAATCCTCTGTAGTGCTGCCGTATAAAGAAGCCCCATCGAAAATGTTTACGTAGAATTCTTAACAATGTTAGGATTACGTTGGCATTTAAACCTAGAAACTCAATCAGAGAGAAACTTTGTAGGCTAAAAGATCCAGTGGAGCCATTTAGACAAAATAAACTGATCTATCAAACACCATGTAATGAATGTAAGGTCAAGTATATAGGTCAAACAGCCTCAATTAAATTTACGTTTGAAGTAGAAAGACAGTCAAAGATTCCATTTTTGGATAGAGAACTCACTAGACAAGATGATGAGATATTGAGGAGGTCTGTCTACGGAAAACCTGAATGGAATGGTGAGCTGATGAACTGCAACGTTTGGGTATCTGTAAGTCGTAAAAGAACACTTATCGTGTCGTTTGCTTAGAAGAATTCATGTTTCTCAAAAGGCTTCTGGCTGAAAACAGATATTCACCACCAAAATCATTTCTGACTTTACGCCATTAGTTGGGTGATTTGTTGGTCAGACTAATTATATTTAACTAGCCGTCGTAAATACATGAATTCTTTGTCAGTAGTAGCAGCTCAGTTTAAGATATTTTATCCAACATAGAGGTGGGATTAAGCTAAATAGATAAGGTGACTGAAAATCAGATGCGCAATATGTACTGACTCCAAAAAACCAAAATAAATGGATAAAGAATTTGACGAGATCGGAGACACTGGTGCTGATAGCATAGTAATTGCCAAATCTGACAAACGCAACTTTTTATTAGTTACTGACAGGGTAGATTACTTGAAAAAAGTCAGTGAGCATATTGAAACGGGACGATATGAGGCAATTAAAATATCTGAAGATACATATTGGATTTGTTTATTTGATTAATAACACACAGTGATGTAGTATTATTTACTTGATGATGTCATGTTCGAAACGTCATCATGTAAATAATACTGTATCACTGTGTGCAGTGTATCAAATAAACAAATCTAATATGGAATTGAATTCTACCACAGTACCCAAGTTTTACATCTATATAAAATCGAGTGTAATTTTGTTAATGGCAGTTCAGTCAACCAGCACAGAAATTTACAATCCCATACAATTATTCTAGTAATAGTAATGTGGTGTAGTTTTGATGATTCACAAATCCATTTCTAACCAGTAGAACGTTTTTCCTTTATTTTATTCTTACCTTAAGAAACAAAAATTCGAAAACATTTTACAAACATGCTAGAGTACATGATGCATTCAGAAGACATTTAATAGATTAAAACAAAATGAAAGAGGAGAATTTAATAGAACATAATTGGTAGGAAATTTTTCTGGTAGCCCAAGCAGGCCGCCTTTTTTTTAAAGTTGATATAGACTTAAACGGCGTAATGAGAAGATGAAGATTATCTGAAACATGGCATGTATCATTTGTATCTATTTTAAACAGTCTGATAACGTATGAACTTGTCGAACTAATAATATGAAAATTGACGAAAAACGTGAATAGAAAACATACAAATAGCAAGGATAAAACAAAAACAAAATCTTAATCACACCTTTCTTGGTAGGAAAATTGAAATCAAAGCTATCAAGGTGGTTTCAAAGTGAGTACAAAGTTTTTTTTGCTTAAATTTACGGATGACCAGAATATCAATAAATTTAAGGACTCGACCCTGACTACTTTTATGTAATAGTTCAAAAGCTGTTCTCATGTCTACCCTATGATAACTTTCTAGTGTGTGTTTAGCAATAGATGAAGATAAATGTTTATCATCTACACTTATCGGATGAATCCGTTCAGGTCATTTGTTTTTCAAGTGACTTAGATACATAATCAACCATTCTTAACTCCATATCATGTCTTTGGGAAGGTAGAACGCAAGCGAAAACAATGATATAATATCAGAACGTTTTATAGATTTCCATATTGCATGAACATATACTTCAGGATTATAAGCTAGATGATATTATAAATACTAGAAGTAATCATATCAGAGATTAAAGATTACTAGAAATTGTAGCTAAGGATGTAGATGTTTAAAGTGAATCATTCTCCGAACTAAAGTTTTAGTTGGAAAACTTTTTAATGTCATACTAGATATCGTTGTCAGTGCACCAAAGTTTAAAACTTAGATGTTTGACAAATAAAAACGTATCTTAGAAAACAACTCCGTCTGAACACATAAGATCATCCTGATAAAGGAATGGATAACAATTTGTGGTGGAAATATTATCTACTAAACAACCCATTATTAAAAAAGTATCAAATGTAGGAGAAAGGTGAAAAACAAAATGATATTTGAATTTGGTGGGGAGGGGGTATGGGGATTTACTGATTTCAAGTTGGTATCCATCATGGACTGACATCCAATGGAGGAGCATTGGAAAGTTGGGATAACTGGATAGGTTTTTCGTTCTAGTATTGGACACTTCAGAAGTGCGCACCAACGATCCCGCCAGGGATCGAACCCGCGTCCTTCAGGTTCTGTAGTCAGCATGTTACCATATTATCCGACTGACTACATACTCTTTTCTCAAGTATTAGTTCACAAAACTACAGCATGTACTTACTAAAATTTGATTGCAAGACATTGTAACAAAATAATTTAACTGGTAAGTTTAGGTTTGATTTTTCATAGCTGGTTAATATATTTGATGTATACTACTAAATTCCTACGTAAAAATATTAATTTTTGTTAAATATTTTATTGAGATATACAACTGATAAAAAAGAAATCTGCATGCACAACCTGTGTCATAAGCTCTAAACGCAATTTCACCAACTCTAGAAAAACTATGCCCAATTTTACATCATTGGTTATTATGAACTATAGTTAACAATATAATTACTTGTACTATACCGTCGTTGATTGAACCCAATTGATTGGTCTCTATTGGCATACGTGCAGATGCCTCGATATTGCCTGTTTTTCAATTACAGTAATGATGGATGGTGGCTAGCAATGGAATCCAGTATGCGAATCCCAGTGGGAACAACATAACTCAATGGGAGGCAGGTACATCCAGCTGACAAGTCCCAAATAGGACGAAATGCGCGTCCTGGATTCCACTGCTAGCCACTATCCACTTTACTATAGTAAACAGTGTTTATAAAAATTACTGAAGATCATATTTTTAGTTTTGCACCGGTCTATGTGTCAATATTTAATTAAATATGAGAGATAATTTATTGGTAAACTTACCACATCTAAGCTAGTTACTTTCAATACGGATGCATAACGTTGAAGATCAAACGGTTGGTTGCATATCACATTTTCACGTATTGTCCCAGGAAATATCCATGCAACTTGTGGAAGATAAGCTATACTAGCTGATCTATGAAGTTCACCATTTAAAAATGGTAATTCTCCAAGGGCAGTTTGTAAAAGGGAAGACTGAAAAGAAACTATACCTTGTTATTAGTTTGACAAGCAAAAATTATCAATTGACTTCACAAAACCAAAGATTACTAATCAACTTAATATATTACCCAGGGTGAAAAAAACCTTACTGTTTTTTGTGTTTACGTCTGTAGACATTTCGATTTACTAGTGAACGATAATGGTCAATTAAGAATAATATGGTGCTCAGTAGTCATCCTAAACTGCAACAAGTAATATGTAAAGTTATAATCCTTTTCCGGCTATGACGTTCAGAAAACGTTTTGGAACTTGACAAAGACAGTGTCTTTAAACAATAATCAGCAGTGAGAAAAAGAGCACGAGTTTTTGAAACGAAGATTGAAAATAAACTTACACGACTGCAAATATCCATGAAATATTTCCCAATCGTCACGAACGTAGACGCTTACAGAATTAATATTGTATTAAAGCAGTCGGATAAAGTTTAAAGGTATGCATACCACCTCCTTACGCTAATAGTGTTGGTAGAAGTGTTTCAAATTAAGAAAACATGTTGAGCTATTGAGTATACGCTGGATTAATAGGAACCTTAACTGCTGGTTCATTGGTTTCTTAGTGAGTGTAATCCCCTTAAAGTGGCTAAAAACAGCAAGATAATTCAGAGGGAAGTTATAACGATAAATTTCACATCCATAGGAGTTTGATTTCACTATTAGGGGCATTCTTGAGAGAGGAAAACCAACAGCGGGTTACTTATTGAAATCAGAGAAGGGAGTTAAACTTCTAGAGGTAGGATACGCAGTCGGTGTACTAGAAGGAGAGCCATTAAAACTGAATCATTATCGAAAGTCCTAAACATATCGAAGGAATTTGAGTAACAAATCAAAGGAAAGATGTTTACAAGCATGCAACTAACAAGAAAAAAATAATTTAAACTCTGCAGAAGGATAGAATAGAGATAAACACATACAGAGTTCTGACATGGTGAGTTGACGATGAGGATGAGGTAGTGGGATATGGAAATGTTAATACAATAAAGCGATTTACTGCAAAGTGTGCACTGGTTATTTATAAGAGAATACGTAGCAAGTTTTATGCTAACCTATCTTCAGTGTGAACTTATGAAATGTGATTGATATGTGTGACCATCACTGCAGTTAATTCCACCATTATTTGTTGACCTTTGATCATAAGATGTAACGGGACAGTTTCTGAAGATGGCTACTGGCAAACACTACCTGTTGGTGATGGCAAAGCATGCCACAGACTGGTTGGACATCCTGGCAATGCAGATCAATAAGAAAAGACAACGACAGAGTACTCACACTGTTTGCACGAGCTGTTTAGTCTAAGGATTTAACATTTTACCGAAAGCCAGTATAAAGATAACGGGTCTCATCGTGCCTAATGAGTGTTATTGTCTACATTAGATTTCGTTGCCTGTAAACGAGTTAAAGGTTCCAGGCATCAGACATTCAGCGATGCCATTTTGAGTAACTTTCCCATAAACTATACATTTTAGCAACTCAAGAGGGCTTTTATTTTCAGTTTGAAGTATTCTGTGTGTTATCTGTTTGAAATCCTCAACATATTGTTGAGGACTCCTGAAGGCAAGGGTTAAAATGAAAAGTTGAAGATAAAAATTTCTTCACTTTTGGTCATTTAAAAATTCTGTGTCTACTTACTGTAATTTATCTATCCTCTGGTTTCACATTCTTTTTTGACTTACTTCTCGCTCTTTGTAGTTTTGAAGTGTAGCAAACTAAACTGATAGATTTGTACAGAAGACTCAACGTCGATTTGTTCAACTGCAATTAACAGAGTACTATTTACTTTACCATTAACTGTATTTACTTCTATGCATTTTGAAATCTCATGAAGTAGAACAAAATTTCAATTAAGCCCTACAATTCAATGCTATTGATTTTCATTATGAAACTTCGTTTAAAAGCTGTGTACAGGTTTTCTTCAATGTTCATTCAACAAGATAAAGTACAGTCTCAAAGATACCTTTGAATTTGTCAGAAAAATTGAGGATCTGGAAGTAGATAATAAGTTAATGATTTCGTGTGACGTTTCATCTCTTTTTACTAACGTTCCTTTAATGGAGACAGTAGACTTTATTTGTAACGAACTCACGAAGCACGGCATGGAAATAGGTATTCCAGTCCCCACATTGAAAGAACTACTTCTGAGGTGTACGATGAATGCACAATTTCTTTTCAACAATGAACTCTACCAGCGATCTGATAGTGTTGCTATTGACTATTTACATCATTATTTCCGAAACACCACTTGATTGGTAATTTGATTAAATTGTAAACCTATGCATATTAATGTAGAGCCCAAGATGAAGACCTAATTGAAAAGAAATATATTTCTTCGCTCAATCAGTCTTTTTCTAAACTCATATGTATTATAGGAATAATGTTATTTGCAGAAAAATCTACATTTCAAATTTCTAATTCATCTATTACTTTTGTCATAGACTGTGTACCTTCAGTGAAATGTTTTTCAACATTTGATATTCAACCACTCAATCACCATCCCACTTTATAAAAGATTATATCCATTTGATCTTTGAACTCTCTCTTCACCTATAACGCTGACTGTTTCGATAGTGAAATAATTTTACAGTATGCCTTACTTTTGTTATTGTATTTCATCTATTCTCTTAGATTCATAAGTGTAATACTGGAGAAGAAGTTATAGAAAACGAGTATTCGCTCGAATTATTCCTCTTTCAAATAAAAATACCTTCTTTCTTTTTCTCAACAGATAGTCATTACTGTATAACTTTAAAATATATTGACATGGACTAAGCAAAACTGAAACATTTTACTATAAATAATAGGAAAATTTATATAAATTATTGGTTAAATCACTTTGAACGCTTTCGTCTTGTCTACTCTGTGACCAGACAAGAGCATTCAAAGTGATCTAACTAACATATTGCTGAACACCTACCTTCGTGGCTGGGTAAAAGACATGTTAAGTCTATAAGAAGCCCGATTTTGTAGCATCTAGTTGACACTGATCACAGAGTAGACAAGACGAAAGCGGTCAAAGGGATTTAACCAATGTATTGCTGAAAACCTACCTTCATGGCTGAGTAAAGGACAGGTTAAATTTATATAAATTGTAAATTTCACTTTTAGTGTAGAAGTAAATGGGTATTATGTAATATAATGAGCACATACCTTTCCACTACCTACAGAACCGATAATACCAATTAACGCGTGACCAGAAGCTTTAAAGCTAATATTATTTAAAGTATATGGTTTCGTATTCTTAAAAAAAAAAGAAGAGTAAAGTGGAGACAATATTTACAAGTAGGTATATTTAAACATGAACTGATAACTTTGTAAAATAACTTTTAAAAATTTCAGTAAACAACTTGTGTTAATTTAAAATATGAGTAAGACTATTTTGTGAAAAGAAAGTTTTTCAATGGAATTAAAATATACTCGTTATTTTCTACAGTTAAAAAAATTAATCCAATTCTGGTTCAGTAGTTGAAATAGATCACATGTTAGAAACACAAGTAACATATTTTGCCTGTGTGTGTGTGTGGGTAGAATATCAGATACTACTAATTAAAAACCAGTAAAAATTAGATGGGTCTAATAAGAGTTTCTACGTAGATTTAATGAAATCATAAAAACATACCCGGTTTTTTTCATCAACTTAGTGTAGCATAATCCAGCTGCTACTTTACAATAAAACCGAGAATTAACAATTCTAGCTGAAATAATTGAATTATATTATATGTTATTTGTCCTTTGGGTTCCTGATGGAACATACGACTTCAGTAGCACGTCTCCACTCCACTCTGTTCTTTGTAATTTTTTGAGCCTGGCTCCACGACAGCCCACAAGCTCTCATTTATTCCTCACACCATCTCCTCCATGTCACCCTCAGCTGGGACGTCCAACTCGTCGCTTCCCATCTGGGTTCCACTCGAGGGTCTGGCCTGACGCGTAATTTCCCAAGTCGGCCTCCTCAGTGTATGCCCAGTCCATCTCCACTTCCTTCCAGTGCATATTTGTTCAGCGATAGGTTGTTGGTTGGTTCGTTGCCAGTTAGAGTTCTTGTTGCTTATTCTTTTTATTCTGGCCACCTGAGCTTCAGTAACCAGCCAGCGTAGGCAGTTGTCGATGAAAGTCTGTAGTTTGTTGGAAATCCCTCTCGTAATGCGCCAAGTCTCTCAACCATACAGAAACACTGACTTGACTGGATTGGTGTTGAAAATCCGGATGTTGTTCCACATGCTGAGTGGAGTGCAGAAGATCTGCACACTGGTTTCAGCTTAATGAACGCCTGTCTTGCTTTTCCGATCCTGGCTGGCTTTGGTGTCCTCGTCTGTGCCTGTGCCGCCTGTAGTTTAAACAGTGCTGCCTAGGTGGTGGGTGAAAGAGGCTACTTCCTTTAAGTTTCTCCCGTTGATGGTGATTGGAGCTTGTTGTTGTTGGTGGTGGTGTTGGTTGGGTATCTTCATCACCTCTGTCTTGAAATAATTGAATACTGTACTAAAATAGATGGTTTCTGGAAGATAAGTAATCTTGATAGAGATACTTTATTTCAGCTATTCATATCAGTTGAAGTAAATCTGTACGTTGTTTCTTTCTTGATTAAAAGCTTTTCGAATACCTTCCGATAAAAAGCTCATTAAAATCTCAACCAATATACTTCACCTACATACTTTTAGCTAGACTTCTGGGATTTCCAACACACTTAGTGCTAATACATGAGTTGCTAATGCTAAATTTATGTCTGCTGGTTCACTCGCTCTTTTGGAGCACGGTAATGAGCCATGGGTTGCAAAGTGAGTGTATTCTTACTTTTCTGAAAGGAAACAGTATACTATCTATGTGAGGAAGTGCTCCACTTCATTCCTTACCTAAGCTGGTATGCCTCAAGGTACTGCACTTTCTCAGTTTCTCTTTTGGTTCTTTTTCACGACTTGCCTTATTTTGTTGTAACTAATTTTATTAAGTATACTGTCTACAGTATTCAATTCTCACTTAGGTTGCTCTGAATTATATGGATTCTTGTCTCCAATCGACCAATAGTCTCTCTCAAATGGTCTCAAATTAAACCTTTCTAAATATCAGACTGTTAATTTTAGCCTCAGACGTAGACAAGATCTGCATGAGCTGCTTCAGTCCCATGAAGTTTGTTGCATTCATGGTACTTCTGCAGAAAGTAAAACAAGTGTTAACTATCTTGGATTAAGTTTTACTCCTGATCTTTATTAGTCATCTCATATATTGTTGAATTGTCAAAAAATCCTTCGTTTAACGCCTCTGGTCCAACTGATTAACACTATAGTTGATCAACATTTAAATTCTAGCCAACAGCTAGCTACAGTAATTTTAACTGACAATGATCATTGACCTCATTTACAGCTTTCTCCTTGTATCTCCTCAGGGAAGATAAGAAGCGACTATACAAGACTGTACACTCATAGAGGAAAGCACAAGAACTCGACTGTACCTTGCCTAGCACGAATATAATGTGAGGAAAGAAGTATTAGAACAGAATTCACGTATCAACTTTGTAACAGTTGACAATCTCATTTCAATAATTCATTTAACAGTGTAAAATGTTTTCGTTTTTGATATTCTTTACATTACTTAAGTTTTTATAATAGCATAATTAGAAATGTTGTAAAAGAATATATACATACATGTATGTTTGAAACAATTATTCCCTTTTATGAATTTGGATAATGTAATTAGAAGACGTAGATTATCTGAAAAATGTGATATATTTGCGCTGTACATTTCAAACAATCTGATCACACATTTACTTGTTAAGGCATTATATATGAAAACTGGAAGTGGGGGAAGGACAAATATGACATAAAAGAATTCAATAATAAGAAAGATAATGAGAGGAAAAAAAGATAAGATTTGAAGACAATCTTGGTAATACGATAAAAAAAGCATTACCAAGGTAGGCTTAATGTAAGGACAAACTGTTTTTGCACACACAATGGGGGGTTAAATTTATTTATGGCTAGCGCCTAAACAAACTTAAGTATACGCTCCTGACAGTTTTTATACAAAATTGTAAAGGCCCATCTTGGTATCAATCCTGTGACTCTTATCAATGATGTGTTTTGCAATGGATGATGATAGTTGTCTGCCATCTGCATTGTTGTTATTGCAATATATCATACAGAGAATTCCAAACTGTACCACAAATTGTTCGGAATAAAGTGAATTATTGTTATTATTATTATTACATCGGCCATAGACACAGAATACTTTATACACGTATACCAGAACATGTTCCAGTTTAGTCGTATAGAAATCAAAGAAAGTTTGTTAGGAGTTCTATTATAGAACATTTGATTGATTTCCATAGTTCAACAAACCCAGACAAAGACTTTAAAATTGTTTATCAGATTCGCTCAAACTTCCCACGTTTTCTTCGTTTTCAACTCCTTAAAACAGTGGAGGGTTTGTGTTTTCATAAACGAAAACCTGATCTGTATATATATATATCTGGTTTTACCACGGCCATGAAATTTTCCCACCCTAGCAAACATTAAAAGTTGGAGAATTTCACTGAAATTATAACAATACATTAAGTTTGTTTTTTCATTCAAAAACCTCCATATGCACCTGAAGACGACTGTCGTAAACTAAATTGATCTTTAAAAAGCAGTGAGTTGTTCTCTGTGCTAAAGTTTTATTTAGAAAACGTCTCAAGGTTGAGCTAGGCATCGTCATCAGTGCACAAGAGCTTCACAAGCGTACATGCTTAACCTGATTGCTTGACTTCATGCCTACAGTCTTCGTAGAGGGCTGTGCAGCTGTGACTGGTTGGCTTCTTTGACGTGCTTGTAGTACGTTGAGGTCACTTCATTGTGGTTTGTCCATCCCTTACGTTAGAAGGAATTCATGAACGTCACCCTTTCCTGATTGGCTGGCACTTTTGTTTAACTGAAGTGATGAAGTTTGTCCTAATCTGATTGGTTCACTTGTATATGTTGGAAGTGCGATGATGCACGTTGATTGCTTAATTTGATCAAACTGAAAGAATGTATTTTTACACTTGAGGTTGGTTAGATTTTACTGAAATGAGGGATTCCCTCTGCATTGATTACTTGACATTAAAAGGTTTGCCGTGTAGAACACCAGCTCACAGAACAACTCACTCTGAGCTACAAAAGTTCGTCATAACATAGAAAAATAATTATTTTACCCGTGTAGACCAATCCCTCATCGTACCAGTAGTCATTTAAGAAAACTCGATTATTAACTGTAAATTATGGATTGGGGCATGTTATCAAAAACAGTTGCATAAAAAACTACAAACGAATGAATTTTTTTTCACACAAAATAATATCATGTGAGTAAAAAGAAAGAACTTGGGACTTTTATCATACCAATACAATACAAAAATATTCACTGACCTGATGAACTCTGATTTCATACAATAAGTGAATGAAAAAACAATTTTCTGGTGTATGTACTAAACTACTGATGATCGTTTTTTAGCAGTAATCCCATCTCTATCCTTAGACTACTTGACTAATAATTGACTTTACATGTAATCCGTGCTGAATCAAATTGCCAACATAATGATTCATGTATCAGCGCTTATTATTACTCATTGTCTACAAGATTTGATGAAAAAATGACTTTTGAAACTTGTAAATTCTTTTAGAAAGTTGTGACATTTTAGACAAGTTAATTTTTTCTTAAAAATCAGCACAAATAATAATTCTACGGGTTCTTTGTACATTCGAAATTGAAGCTCGTGAATCGCAATAACATTTCTCGAGGTAACAAAATTTTTAGGGAAATAAAACAAGAAATTAGATCTTGACTATGATCCAAATATTCAAACAAATACTACGATAGTTGTTTTCAAGGAGGAAATTGATTTTTAATAAAGTAGAAGTAAAGAGCTTTTTAGCATATGATCTTGTTCTTTGTCGTCCCATCATCAGAATGGGTGACTTGAACCATTACTTCATTTGGAAGAGGTGTCATCAGTTGAATACCAGAGCACGTTCATTAACATTTCTTCATCCATGGAATCATTTAAGTCAATCTATTTTCCTGAGTTTGATCACTGGTAAGAAATTTTGATGGGAGTGTATAGACAAATAAACGAAATCAACGTAGAACCTCGCACACAAGTGCGTCGGTCCAAGTAACCACAATTCAAGGTAGTTTGCAAAAAAACAAGTAGATAGGAGACTGATATCAAAGTTGAAGAAGGTGTATGTGAGAAGAGTGAATTTTAAGATTAAGGTTAGTCAAAACATTCT